ACAAGCGTCTGCGAGTGCTCGATCATGAATAATTAGAGAGGATAGTTGTTGAAGCTGCTGTTCAAGAATGCAAAGTAGTAAACAAAAAACTTTACCCAATTCGAGACCCGCCCTAGTCTTATTCTGCCCATTCACATGCCCCTGGAGATGAGTTCTTGCCGGGACCCACACGAGCGAGCCAATGGGAGCAGCGCGGCGATTTCTTCAGTTTGCATACTCTCTAGCATCTGTTTGCAGGTCGTCACGCTTGCGACAAATTCGTCCATATTTCTTTGCTGTATATAGAACCCTCCTTTTCCAAAGCACTTGGGCACACCCGTATTTACCCGAGCGCCGCTGAGCCCGGATGCTTTGAAACTAGCTTTGGCCAATAGTAATTTCCAATCACATTGCCGACTTTAGCTCTCGAACGCAATTTTCTCTTTACGCTCCCAATTTCTCCATTATTTGCGAGCCAGTTTTTGTGTGTTCCATACTGAGCAGCTCTTGATCGTTCAAACTGAGTGCAAATCACTGTACCTCGTCCTCGACAGAAGAACACTTCCGTAATCTTTTAATAGAAAGTCTGAGTGAAAGTACGTTGCGTCGACGTTCTTTCTCTTAGTTCTTTCTCTTAGTCGGCATTTGCGACGGCCGCATGTTTCGGCCGAATACACTTTTGCACTTTGTCTCTCCAAGGTATTAGAAAGCATTGAAGGCTAAGATATACATCTATGCAGCGTAAATGCATAAATCAACTCTAAATTTATGTCAGATTGCATTTTTCTGGCCATTCCGTTTTTTATTGTATAGCCCAGCTCCACCCCCAGGCTAAAAGTATACAAGCGCTCAAATGCTAGCATGTGCTTTGAGATGTTGAAAAATATGGGGCATGTCCTCAAGTAATTTGCAACGTTATGTGCGTATTGCACACCAAACGCGCTATTTGACGACTTTCAAGATTGTAGCCGCTCAATTAAGGGATAAAACCCTGTTTTCTTGTCTATTTTGATTTAATTGGATGTGGAATAGTTAATAGCAAAACTTTCTGCATTTTATTACCCTAATTGATGTCTTATTGAGGGGTTACCAGTAAGGATGTCGTCAATTGCCGCGTGTGGTGTGCAGACTCACACAGTGGGTTACAGATGAATCCGAATCGAGTATTATATAACTTCTAATCACAGCTATTTGAATGGGCTCATTTTTTTAAGCATTTTCATGGTTTTTTATCAATTAGTCGAGATTTTGGATCATTTTCTGCGTAAATTTGCTCCAGACTTTTATCGAAAACGATTTCAGCTCAGTAACTATTTTGAGGCTCACGACATGCTTTGAATTTTAAATATGATCAAAAAAAAGTTTAAAAAAATCAAAAAACAAATATACAATCCTGCACCTTCCCAACCAAGTGAGTTCAAATTTTGTCACCATACTTCTCTCGAATTGACCATTTTACAACCAATGACTTTTGAATAAAAGATTATATGCATCTGAAAGAGCAAGAAATAGTACCTTACCTTTCTAATAGTACCAAATTATTAACCAATTTATTAATTTTTGATCTAAAACGAAATTTCTGTGTCAAAATTTCTCAACCTAATTTTGGGGCACATACCCACAATAGCTCTTAAACTCCTCTTTTTTTTCTGAAAAATGTGAGCGGAAGGTTGAATTCTTCTTCTCTCTTCTCCCTCCCCCCGCCCCCTCTTCTCTCCTCCCCCCCCCCCCCCCTCCTCTTCCCGTAAATGTCCGATGTTCAATTTTTTCCACGTCCGAACATATGTTTGATACAATACGCGTTCGGGCGCTAAAGTGTTGCGCTGAGTGGGCTGAGCGACAACAGAACCTTTTGTCAATGCTATAGGGTGGTGAACACTTATTCTACAGCCGTAATTATTACGTCAGAAACGTTCAGGAAAATTTCCGGGTTTTTCTTTTCCCTACCAGTCTCTTCTATGATTTGCTTGTTCCGCTTGCTGTCGAGTTTACCCCGCTAGTTAGTCTTGTTTACTGCTTGCTGCCTTGCCGCTGATAGTTACCTTCAAATGTACAACTTACATATAAAAGGCGTAACAAGATGTTCGTAATTTTATTTTTATTTCTTGTCATTTACTCCAGTTGTTGTTGTTTTTATTGCCTTTACAACCAGCTTTTTATTTAATGCAAATTGGCTTGCAAACCAAGTCACCTTTCCAAACAAAAGTTTCTAGTTTTCTTTCAAGATTTTTTCGAATCAGTTTTTTATGCGCTTTTTGAATTTTCCTCGCTTCTGTTCGACTCTGATACATTTAATTTTTTCTCGGAAAGCTCAAAGTCTACACTTATTTTGCCTATAATGTAAGTTAGAAGTTCTTCTGAAACTCTTGAGAAAACACCACAAATTCGATTTTCAAATCAGTTTTACCGCGTTAGAAATTATCATCACAGATCTCACTCACTTATTATTAATCATTTATTTATGCTGTGAAAAAATCATATGAGAAGAGATTCATAACTCTATAGCAGGGCTGGCACGAGATGACTTTCCGAAATTGCAAAAAAACGAAGATCCCCTTGACTTTTCCAATATTTTACGAGGTTTTTATCCTAAAAACGATATCCAGCTTGCTAATAAATCGCCTATGCCGAGCTCTGCTCTATAGATCCACATACAAATCTAAATTCTTGCCGGCATTTTTCTTAACAATGTCAATTTGGAAAAAAAACTCGGAAACTACGTTTGAGGGGCTTAACATTGGGAGATACTACTAGCAAAAAGATCGCCGTTCAAAAGTGTTTGTCTTTACCATTTTTCCAGTAAATAAATCTTTTTGTAGAAAATTTACTGTGATTTTTTAAATACCCTGGTCACTTTTATACATCGTAAAATAAGAAGAGTTGCATTTTGCTATACCACAAAGATGAAGTATGCTGTAATAGGTAAACTTCGCACAAATCTGCTACCGAAGCGCGTTTTTGGAAAAGTCTAAGATTTTTTCAATGTGCAAAAGGGACGCTGGTTTTTTTACCAACCGCATTCCATAACTCCCCTGTCATATTTCTTTATCTCTCTACTAAACCCCTTTTTGTACTTGATGAGGGTCGCAAAGCTTTGCATATAAAAGGTCTGCGAATAGGGGGGGGGGGGAGAGAGAGTTACACAACCTGGAGAGCATTGTTCCCAAGATAAGATTGTTTAGTTCATTCGACAATAGACTTAGGCAAGTCTCGACGACAATCAGCTGGTCTTCGTCGTTAGGGTGCAGAAATGGGTGTGTCTGTAGTTTTTCCAGTTTTTGTGCACCACACCTATTGTGCCGCGTTCAAGTAGTCGAATGGAGCGAGTCTCGTTTCGCATAGCCTTTGCGCAAAGCGCATGCGCAACTTTTAGGCGGGGGGGGGGGGGAGGGGGAGATGGGGGAGAAATTCAGGCCGTTTTGTCAGGGGGATGACGTATGGTTGGTGCAATTTCCGCGAACACACACTGGGGACTACTTTTTCCCACAGGTAGTGAAGGTCGCGATCTCGTCTTTGCTAGTTGCGTATGCCGCGCAGTAGGCAATCGAAACTTTATATAATAAATGAGGCAGAAGTATAGTTCCACTACCGGGGAGGGGGGGGGGAGAGAAAACCTTGGGAAAACCGCCCCCTCTGGATCTTGATCCGGGTCAACCAAGGTCCTGCCATTCAATGGCAAAACTAGACCATTGGTATGTGGGAAATTAACTTCCTGAGCGAATTACTACGGCTCAGATGTTATTGTAGAGACCTCCAACTTCCCCCCCCCCCTCCCCTCCAACTAATTATTTATGTCTCACCATTTGACATCGACACTTAATAACAACGATTGCAACACAAGTTTTTGCTATTTTCACATTTTCACACTTCCGCCTGGCCAGAAAGGTCTTTGTAATGTCCTTATACTGATTTCTGTCTCTCTACTTGTACCCTTCGCAAACTTTGGCCAACGCGAATAGTTCGTGCTCCACCCCCTCGCAAGTTCTTCAAACTTAAAGGGCCTATGTTGTCCTTGTCATGCTCCGCCCACATTTTGGATTAGTTCTTCGTCTTAATTTGATACGTATCAAATTAAGCACAGACATAGTAAAACTCTAATCTAAAGGACAACTTATATTAAGTTATTATAAAGATGAGAAAGAACTCTATATTGAGGTACAAACTTCCCATATGTTTGATATTTGTTCATTTATGCCCCTTTTTTATACTACTCCAGACTTTTTTTTAAACTTTTCAAATCTCATACTCTATTTTCTTGAAATTTTGAATGAATTAAGCGTGTCAAGATACGAATAATTTTCAAAGTGGAAGAGTGCAAGATTATTGCATAAATCTATTTCTTATTATTTTATACATTCTTTCAAGATGTCAGAATTTACGAATGCTTTCCGCGTCTTTGAAATTTCGGATTTCTTCGGAATTTCCTCGAAACCTAATCTTTCTCGAAAGTTCGCCGAAGCTTTTCTGATTTTTCGAAACCTTCCCGAGATTATTGAATCTTTTTATAAGTTCCTCGCAATTATCGGAATCTCTTCATGAATCCTCGAAAATTTCGGATTTTTTAGGGAAGTTCCTCAAGAGTTTGGGTAGTGTTTGGGAAGTTCCTTGGGATTGTCCTAATTTCATTGTTTTTTATGGAATTATCGGATTTCTTTGGGTGTTCCGAATTTTTCGGAACTTCTTTGGAAGTTTTTCAAGTAATTCGAAATTCCGCGGAATTCTGAAGTCATTTCGGAGTTTCCTCAGAATATTCAAAAACTTATTTGAATTAAACTACCTCGATTTTCGATATTTTCTGATCGAAGAGCAAACCCTAAGGAGCATTACCGTTTCAAATTTTCCATTATTGTTATCAATGATCCAACTGCATATCACTTCGAAAAATTTTCTAGAATTTTCGGAATTCCTTCAAAAGTTTCCCAGAACTTTTGAGGTTTTTTTTATAGTTCCTCATTTCGGTTATCGTATCTAATCCTTGCTTTTTTATCTTCGTTACGAACGAATAGAATAGCATATTTTCAGCATATGATCGAAGAACTGTAGCGGAGTTCTGCGCTAAATCTACCAACATGCTAATACTATTATATTTATTCGTATTCATCACAGTTAGAGCACAATTGGACAACTTTCCGGTAAGTCTCTTCCAGAGATAAAAAAAGCGCCCATTGGCGAATTCCTACGCGTTGCAACAATTAGGTTAATATAGCCATTTCGTTGTGTTATTTCCTCGGTTTTACTTTCTTTGCAACACGGAACGTACATTTGTTCTTTTTATAATCAGACGGCATCGTAAATGTGGCACATTTATCGGCCTAAAAGCACGTTATCCCTCATTTCATATGCGTAAAAGCTGGTTGCATTTCCTAAATGCATACATAATTTATTTAAGGAGGACATTACGATTTTTCTATTTTTCATTGTTACGGAATTGAAGAATTTATTTTTTAAAATCAACTAGCTGCTGCAGCGGAACAAATGGCTATCTCACAAGGACGAACTTTTGAAAAGCTCGGATGTTCCGAAAGACTTTGCCATGCTTTACGGAACTTTTGCAAGAAAACAATTTCTAGTAATGATTAGGCTACTTTTCGGTGCTAATTTTTGTATTCAGTGAGAGTAATAAAGTGCATTAATTTTGCTATTCTCAATTGCAGTTTTTTTATTCTTTTCATTTTATAAACTTTTGTTATGAAACAGATAAGGTCAACCCTCCCTTTTTTTGCTATAAACTGCGCTGCAATAAGAGCTAAACGCGAATTTGAATTTTTTGCGGAACTTTCCAAGAGGTTCGCAGAAGTTTTGCGAAAGCTACTCATACTCTGCGGAACTTCCGCAAGAGGATAGATTTCAATCTCTAATCACCACTAGGTTTTAATATTAATTTTTCGATCTTCGGTACTAGTCAAAAGTGCATCAGTTGTTTAGCCATGTGTTTTATAAAGTTTTGTTGTGGTACAAATGAATTTCAACTTTTTTTCTTGCAAAAAAGCTCCATTGACTCAAAACTTTGGAGGAGTTGTGGAGGCTCGCAAAAGTTCCGCGAGAGTTACCCATTTTCTGCGAAAGTTTCGTACCATAATTTATTCCAACAACAACACAAGTTTTTCATATTTTAAATTTGGGAAGGTCAGAGGTTCATTCAACACAGATCATATGAAAGACATTTTTTGCAAAAACTAGTTGTGTAAATACAGACTTCTTAAAGTGTCCTTACGAATGCCAGATCTTTTTCTCATCAAGACCAACTGGCCAATAAACTCACGTGTGATGCTTGACCTTTTGACTTTCGTGAAAATACACGTGGAAGGAAAAACGTCATTGGGAGATATATCAACATGACACCAAAAAACGATGATGACCCGAAGGTCATGAACTCTTGCGGTATCTGTGAGTAACTGAGAATGTCAAAGAAATGTGGGAGGTCTTCTTACATATCGTGGAGAACTATAGTTCAAAAGGAAAGAAAAAATTTTCTCAAAATTGCAGTACTTAACTTAGAGTGCAAAAAAATGTTTGCCGACAACTGAACACGTTTTTTGGAATTTTAGCCGATATCAAATTTCCGACAACTAGTCTGGTTTCTAAGAGTGGCTCAATTTTTTAAATATTTCTAGCCACAATATTTCTGCTTTGTTACTTACGGAAATTAAACTACAAAGAAGTTGAACTCGGAAATTAGGTCGAAAATTTTGAATCAAAAAATTAATAATTGAAATTAAAAATTAAATTAAAATTATAGTGGTTTGCAAGTTTTCACATCTAGTTTAAAATATAAAAATGACACGTTATGGGGAAAGATTCTTGTTCTTTTCAACTTACTGATGCATGTAAACATACGGAAAAATATAATGGTCTGCAATTTTTTAGATTAAAGTTTGTGTTTAAATATAAAAATGTAAATTTATGAAATAATTTGCATTCTATGAATATGATCAGAAATTTTTCCTTGTTTTTTATGAGTTTCTGTGAGTAAAGTTTCTCTTTTTTTTCTGTGGGTATGATCGAACAACTTTCCTTTCTTGTATGAAATCGATTTCTCTTTTTATGTTTTACTCTTGAATAGTACGCTCTAATATTATCTGGCACTTGTCCAGCTCTTTTTACCATTAAAATTCTTGGTAAAAGTGCCCATTTCATGCAAGAAAACGGGAAATTGTTCTACCATATTTTCAGAAAAACAAAGAAAACACTAGGGAAGTTCTATACTTATAAGAGAAAAACAAGAATCTTTCTTTCATAGAATCTGTCATTTCCCAGCTATAATCACTTCTCCCACGGACAAATCATTTTCTCATGCCTTCCCTCCGAAACTTTCACCTCCGATTTGGGCGCGCGTAGAAATGTTTTGAAAAAAAAAACACTTCTAGCGAACTTACGGGTGATCTGTTGCAAATCATCGAGAGGGCTTTCAAAATGGATAGGGCATGACTTTTCTTGAAGTTTCCATCAATTTTCAATTTTTCGGTTTATTAGGTCTGTCCGAAATTTGTTCGCCGTTTTTTCGAATAATCATGACTTCTTATCTTTACAATGGATTTTTTCAAAAAAAAATTTTTTTTTGAAAGAGGAAACCATGTTCTTTACAGCAGTACCTCTGCCATAATCTTCCCCTTGAATCAACATTCTTGGCGGCTGAAGGTGGGGCTTTGTGACCTAATCAAGGCTAGATAGTGATTAGAAAGCACGCCGCGAGACGGACGCAGACCGCGTCGCGTCCGCGGGAAGCCTTAAGTGGGTCACAAGGCCACGCCTTCCAGCAGCCAAAGCCAGTTGAATCAAAGGTTAGTAAGAGGAAATTCGAGAGTTTGAAGTGACTGAAGGAAGTTACTCAAGATTCTGAAGTCTTTTGTTTGATAGAGGAAATTATGAGCACTAGCTTTGCCATAAATGAACAGGACAAGTTGCAAGATCAGAAGCCAGTGAAATTTCCTTCGCTCAAAAAAAATTCTAAAAACATCATAGCAGGAACCGAACCAGTCAAAAACATGGTTTTTATGCTAATCGAGAGCAGTTTCAATTTTCGTGTTTTGGTTTTTCGGGTTTAGGTTTTCTGAAAAATCATCACTGCTTTGAATTAGCACGAATTTCGCTGCTGTTGTAAAGAGCATTTTTAGCGTGGTTTCCTCTTTGAACAAAAACAATTTCAAATTTATGATTTTTTGAAAAAATAGCGAACGAACTTTCGGACCGACCTAATATGTACCTGTATGGAGTCTAGAGTTTTTTCTCAGCAAGGACTATCACTTGAACTTTTTGATTTGTATCGTAGCGCTTCATGTGCACTAAGTAAATAAACAAAATATTATTTGCCAACTTTGGAGCGCTGCAAGGCTTAGAACCTGATCTTGAAACTAATCTTTAATCTTGCCCCGAACTTATTTTGCACTTGTTTTTATGAAAATCTAGTTAGCGCAGTTTATTATGCAGCTGAAAAGAAGGGAACTGTATGAGATTAAACATGAAATCCTTTACCAAGAGAAAAAGAGAGAAAATAATTAGAACTAGTCTTAGTTCCAACTTTTAAATATAAGAGCCACTGTACATAATAAGTAGAGTGTTTTTTTTTACTCTTATTTTTCTCCTTTGTAACCTCATTCTTTCAAGTGTCTAATCAAATGTAGACGTCTGTCTACACTGCTTTTGTGAAGGAAATTGTTCTGTAAAATCTATTTGCAGGTATACTGGAATGTACCCTCGAAAGTCTGCTATACTAGGGGAGTTGATATACCACTGCAAGAATTTGGGATTATCTACAATAAAGGTCAGTCGTAATTGATGTAACTGATTATACACAGGGTAGAGGAGTTTTTACCATGACACTCATGGCAGGTCTTCTTTTCTTCAATCTTATCTCAACTTAAATGATTTTTCTGTAAAATATTAGGTTGTCCCATAAGTTTTTTCATATTCGGACCTTCAATTCGATTTTTCTCAGAAACTACAGCACCTAGTAGGCTGCAAATTTTTGACAGTAATCCTGAGCGAATAAGCTATATAATCACCTACTTGCGGGGAATACAGAAGTGATACAGGCAAAGTTTGAAAATTGAGCGCATTATTTTTTCTTGGTTTCTAGGCATCAGAAAAATGCAGCAAGTGCATTTATAAATATCCGATAAGGAGCGTATATGCATGAAGAAACAGGAAATTTACAGAGCTGTTTTGAACTGAGATATGATGATTTTCGTTTTTTCGGAGATTCGGGAAAATTTTTTATTTTGGTTTGGAGCATGTTGCGGATTGGACTTGGTGCGAACTTTTGAACGCCATCTTGTAGAGCTTACTTTGATCTGTCGAATAGTACCCTGCAGTTTATCAGGAGTTCAAGAAGAACTGATTTATGTCGTTGAAAAGTCAGGTATGAAAAGACTTATGGGACCTAATAATTGTCCTTCTGTAGATGTTATTCGCCTGTCCTGGATTATCTATTATGATATTATAATGTGCTGTCAAATTAGGCAGCCCCTCCTTGTTCTGCGTCCAAGGGAACCATATTTAGTCTAAATGGTTAGATGGTGTGTATACCATATTGGAGAGCATAAAGCGCTGATTCCAAATCTGCCTTTTTTGTTTGCGGAACGTTCATGGACAATAAGTTATGAACTTTTGATAAGCAAAAGATTGCATATGCAAATAGAAGGAAAATGGTCTTAATATTTTATAACACAGTTGCTTGCTTTAATCAAGGTCTGAGATTCTAGCAACTCATTCTATGTTGCTTTATTAAGGGCTGAAAAACAATAGCACTCATTCTATCTCGGATGCGCTTTTTCTTTTTTCTTCAAAAACGCTATAAACAGGGCTCAGCACAGCTGGCACCGAGTCAAGCTGGATATCGTTTTTAGGGTGGAAAGCAAAGGGGATATCGTGTCTACAGGGGCCGAGGCGGAGAACTGCCGCAAAAATGCCGCCGGCATGCCACCGGCATGCCATTGGCGAGCTGTCCATCAACAAACAAAGGCGTTGTTTTCAGCCAAAACGTAATAGTATGACCCCAAATTTGGTGTGTGCATGCGCGTTGGTGGACCGGAACTTTGGGCCAAAAATTTATGAAAACTTATGTGAATGAAAGCTGTGCCGAACTTTTTTCTGAATTAGCTGGCACGTTTTATAGCAATTTGAAAACCACTCGGTCCGCTCCGCAGTTGAAAAATCGGCTTTTTCTGCTTCTCAAGATGTGATTCGACCACTTAAAAAGCTCAGAAAGCTGTGAAAAGTTCTTTCATGAAATCATAAATGCATGAAAACACTACTATTTTTGTACATGATATAAAAATGATGACGGGTTTTCGAAATAGGTCAAACGGGACTTCGTTTTGAAATTTCCCTGGTGCCAGCTCGTGCCGAGCCTTGGCTATAAATCCTTGCCCACAAACGTTAGGCAGATAAAGATTTGGAATCAGCATTTTATGCTCTTCAGTATGGTATAATCATATAAAAAATGCCACTGACTAAACATGGTTCCCTTGTTAGTTAACTATCGTATGCTTGTGACATTTCAAAGCAAATCAAATTCTTAGTAATGAAGTCCATATCTGTTACTTATTCTTGTATTTACTGCTTATTTACCCTCTTCTACTTCTCCTCCTCCTTTTCCCATCCTCTGCAGGAACTTGCTGATCGTTTTTTAGATTGTTAGGCCTGTATTTTTTTTTCTTGAAAATATAATCTGGCATTTGGAAGAGCTCGAATGACAAATTTTTTGAAAAAGACAATGATAATTGAGGAAACACGTCCTTCTTGAAATTTAGTTATAGCCAAGGCTCTGCACGAGGTGGCTTTTGGAAAATGCAAAAAACGAAGTTTCCTTGAATTTCGCAAATTTTCACGAAGTCCCCTTTGACCCTAAATCTTAAACATAAAAAAGCCTTTAAAGAACGATACGTTGACAAAAAACTTCACAATTTTTCGGCCTCAAAAAACGATATCTCCTTTGCTTTTTGTTCCAGAAACAATATCCAGCTTGCTTACAAGCCACTTGTGCCAAGCCTGGCTATAACTCTCAACTAGGGAAGTAAAGTCATAAGGTTTCGTTGAAATCTTTGTCAAAGGCTACAGACTCTTAAATGGAGCTAATCCTTACTAGTCTGCAAGAAGAAGCCTATCACTGACTCACATCGTCTTCGGTAGTTCCATCCAGTTCTGTACCAGGAGAGTCAGACAGCTATAGATGGGCTGGTCATGTACTTTAGTCAGAAAAGTAGAACGACCGATGTTCGTTTTTGTACAATTCGATGTTTCAGTTCACATTTCAAGGTAAAGTGATTCATGACCATTTTAGGTACTTTTGGCATCTGGTTTCGTTAGCTAGTCAGCTAAAGATACTGAAAGAAAAGATGGTACTAAATTTCCCGGTCGCTCCTTGATTTATTAAGGCACTTACATCAATGAGCAAGGATATCATTTAGATAAAACAAAATAAATGGTTGCAAAAGACAAATGATAGCAACTGTAAAAATTTCCAGCAACCTTTTTTTTCCAGAAAAATGGCTAGACTGCGCAGGCATGTGAAAACATATTAGGGAGCAATTTTGTAATCGTTTATAAATTGGTACAAATCTCAATTAAAGGCAATATTATAGTTTTTATCAATAGCGAACCCCTCCCCCTTACCCTCCGCGCGAGAATGAGTCGCAAAGTTTTGAAAGTAGCTTGCATAGGTTAGGGAATTGTGCAAGAGACTTGTTCTCTTGTAGATAATTTGGCCTTTCTTGAAAATCTGCCAAAAACTCAGATCAGCACAAAAAAATCTCGAAGGCAACTTTGCTTGATATTTTTGAGAAAAACTTCTGTTTATCCCTTTCTCCCTCTCCCTACTCCTCCAGAAAGTGGACTGTTAATTTTTTGAACTCGAAAATTCAAATGTTCTCCTTTCCTCCCTTCCTTGGGGTCCTTCGGACACTCGGACCATGATGACATTCCAACGATTAGAATATCAAATTTTATGTTCCATCTAAGTTGTTGTTGCCTTTTAGCATGTCATGTTTTATTTTTGCATACATCTGAAGCTAGAGTTTTACGATTCACTTTCCCAAGTTATTGGTCATGAACTCTTATTTGCTGCTGGATCATCCTGCAGAATCTGTGACAAAATAGCATCCTCTGGTTTTACACAACTATTTTTTTTGGCCAATTATGTAGGCTTAGAAAGTTTTATTTGGTTTCAATTCCAAAAACGTATCAGAATGCAAAGTACCTCGTCTAAAAAACAGTCAATGCAAAATTTCTGTTTTTAGCGGCTCTCAAATGCTTTGAATTTGTACCTGAAAAATTACTACCAAACCTTGATAGCATTTCAAAATTTATTGGGTCTCTGCGCTAGCACCTTATTCGCTAATTCGATTTGTTTCTTCGCTTCAAGAATCCTCTGAAAAATTGATGTAAAATCCTCTTAAATTTCCGGTTTGCCCCGTTACCCTTGACATCATTTTTTTCGCAAGTTTCAATGGTCGGTCATTGTTTGCGCGATAGCGTTGAAAAAATGTTTTCTACCTTTGAGAAAATATTTTTCCGAGGGCATGTGAGTACTTCCACTTGGACTTTAGTGTAGATAGCAGGTAGTGGCCTATCTTCCCTTATATTTTTCGAATTTTTCTATAGAGAAAATATCGAGATTTGGCATAACGGGTGAATTGATCCACTCGCGGCAACAACACATTTACGGTGGGGGAGAAGGGGGGGGGGGAGAGGGGGAGGAGGAAATTCATCCCATTATTCTTCAGACCTTTTTCATTCCTTTCATACTCTTTCTTAGCTGTGACCAACTCGAATAAAGAGTGCACAAGTGACGACATGAGTATTTACGATGCAAGTAATTTTTTCACTTAAGTATTCGAGACTGTTCTTAGATTCCGTAAAAGCTTGAATTGGATTTGTAGAAAGTTTTGGGGCATTTATAAATAGCTGTAGTTAGCAGTCTAAACGATGGAAGAGAGTTGGAGGTCGAGCGACTATGTGGGCATAAGAAGCATCAAGATTTCTTTACAATTTTATCTTCAGATATTTTGCTGTGCCGCACTATGTGAGTACGACAATGCTTTACTGCCTGACAATTCGACTTACTTTTCGGCGGCTGAAAAAAAAATAAATGATAAGAGTGTACCAACAAGGGAGATTCAAAAAAGACCTACAAGATTCTTAAACTGGGGAAGGAAGGTCAGTCGAAGCGGCATTTATGTATATTGACCTAAGGAGGACAAAACGCTGTTTCCAAATATACCTTTCTTATCTGCTGCCGTTTTTGAGCAAGGAATTCTAAAAATTTTATGGGCAAATAATTCAGCGTAGATCAGCATAAAATGAGTCGTTGACTTTTATTAGCGTTCCGAAGTGGCAGATTTAAGCGGATATATTCAAATAAAGAATATTTACTGCGAGTAACTCGAAAATCATTCGAGCCATAGAAAAAAATGTTACCGCTGTTTTTATCTTAGTTGTACATGTAAATTTTTCCTCATAAAAACCTTCGTAACCGCCCAGGAACCGGCAGCAGATAAGGGAAATAGATTCGAAATCAACGTTTCGTACCCTTTAAGGCAGTATTCATCTCATGTTAAAAGGCCACTTCGACCAACCTTCCTTTTCTGATAAGTCAATCGAGGTGGCTCAAAAGTCGAAGAAGTACAAGTTGTCCAAAAATGTACCTACTGTTTAAGAAGCTTTAAGTAGCATTTTGTGGCTGGCTTCAACTTAATTTACACCATGGTGAAAACCAGAAATCCCTCTTCGTTACTGTAGGATTATGGTGGGAATTTTTGGAAGGGATTTGAGAAGTAAGGGTTATATTTTACCCCTAAAAAGGACCAAAAAAGCTGGGGATTTTTGCACTAGGTTAATCAGAGTCTCTGGATCTAAACATGAAACTCGCACCTTGACGCTTTTTTCTTAACTTATGCCAGAAATACTTTCACAAACGATTTTTAGAAGCCGTACAAATGATTACACCATTCAAAAAGCTCTGCAAACGCGCAAGATTTATGTACTGAAATCAGCATACCTGAAATCCTTGTTACATAATTTTCCGGGTTTTTCTGGAAATTTTTTTTCAAAGTTTCTCGCATTGGGCGCCATATCTGCAAGTTCCTACAGCACTCCTACAGTACTGAAGAGGGGTTTCATTTCGCTTCAAACTGTAAACCTAAGTTGAAGCCAGCTCTACAGAATGATACCCAAAGCTTCTCGAAAAGACTTCATGACAAGGGAGTTATAAACAAAAAAACAGTAGGCTCTTCTTTTTGGGACCTGTATGAGCTAGCGACTGATGTCCGTCATTCTTTTTTGTCATCCTATCATAATTCACTATAATGAACCGGTAATTGAAGGTGCTAGACTACATCCGCGCGCTTCGGGACCGCATCTCGGTTTACCGCTATCTGTTGTTTTTTGAATTGGCACTAAGATTCTTTACATATTAGACCAGAGAACCAGTAATCTAAAGGTGCTAGTTTGCAGAAGCATTCGCTTCGAGACCCGCCGTGATTTCCCGCTATTGGAAGATTTTTTTATCGTAACGATTTTCTATGTATTAGATTGCTTTTCACTACTATTTGTAAGCAAATCTTCTCATGTCTCTATTATTCTATGACGTCCCATGTACGGTATGAATAGATATACTGCAAGTAGGTGTGGTGGTGGTTGTAGGTAAACGAGTTCCGGCTTAGGTTGACATTCTCGTCTTGCGTATAGGTGGAGAATAAAGGTGTAAAGCCATAAAACTTCACTTTTTGCAACTCGTATTGGAATGTGTACAAGTTCATAATTCCATGTGCAAGAAAACTCGCATTTCTCATTTTATCCGTCGGCTCCTTATGAAAGTTTGACTGCTTTCATGGTCAACATTAGAGCCTAATTCTCTGAGGTCAATGAGGCGGAAAGAGTACTAATTGAATGCTGTCCATGCGACGCAATGAGTAAACTTGTCACACTTTCGGTATACCTATTAGGCCGTACTATAGAGCCTTTATACAAACAATATGGCGTTTGCGCGAAGTCACTTGGCCTTTTTCAGATCATGAGTTCCTTGGGGACCAAATAGTTATATTTTATGAGTACAATTTCGGACATTTTCCTTACTACTTGGATTATGATCCTAACCAACCAGTCAACGGTGGTTTACCGCAGGTACGGCTTGGAAAAGACATTGAAGACTCAGTTGCCAAAAAGGAATAGTTTTTCAGAAATGTCCCTTTGACAAACACTTAGCGCTAGTGTCTAAACAAATTCGCGAAGCCATTCCACGCGAGGATTTTGAAGGAATAGCGGTGATCGACTTCGAGGAGTGGCGGCCATTGTATGAGTTGAATTGGGGTAAAAAATCTGTAAGTTTGGGACAGCTTCAAAGCGTCTAGCTTCAGCAACCTGCCATTGAACAAAAAATTTCGTTCAGGTGTACAAATCTGAGTCCCTTCGTCTTGTTCGAGAAGAATATCCTACGATCTCTGACAAATCGGCCGAAGAATTGGCGAAAAAAGAGTTCAACACAGCGGCAAGGTTGATAGCGCATCCTTACCAAAACGTAATAAAATTTTCTTTTCAGAAAGATATTTCTTTCCACTATAGCTTTGGCACGACAACTTCGACCCTATGCCCGATGGGGTTTTTATGGATTTCCGTATTGTAATTACGACGCTGGAAATGCTGAATCTGACATTTTGTGCAGTGAAAAGTTCAAGAGAATCAATGATGAGTAAGTTCTTCTGTTTTTCAGTGTTTATCAAGCAAAATGCTGCTCAAACTTTTTTTTTCTGAAAATTTGATTCAACAAAGATGTCTGACACTCTGCTGTGACGATGACTTCTTCATTTTTGTCACTTTTTTGATATCTCAGACAATTCACCGGGAACTTCAGCAAGACAAACTATATTTGCAGCAGTCCCGCAGAATTTTCACGTCAGACTGGTTGAAAACGGGAAGTGCCGCAAGGCTTTTTACAGTATGCTGCGGAAATTCCGAAAAATAACAGCGGTTCCGCAGCATTTTAATCTGCCACTATTTCCCCAGGATTTTAAATGTGTTGTTTCTTGCGATGTTGCCTCGCTGTGACTGAAGTGCATTGTCGAATATGTCATTAGTGCAGTGGATAGTGAGTGAAACTCGCACTCAATAGAGCAAAATTTGAATCTCGCGTATGCATTTTTCGGAACTTCGCAGCACCTCATTTGGGAACTTCTGCAAAACGTTCGCAGAACTTCCGCAGGACCCACCGGAATCTTCCCAAAAGTTCTGCGAAATTTCCGGGGCACCAACTCTCTAATGATACTCGAGGAGTGACATCCTCAAGTAAATAAGCACAGTTTGCCACGGCGTCTAATCTACTATAGAAAAAATCGAGCACAAGCAAGACTAACGAGAGTTAACATACCAAAATAAGGGACACTTTAAACTCGGCGCACGTAACAGTTTCACTCTCAACCTTCAGCAATGGTACTCACAGAGATTCAGCCCATATATTGGATTGGACCCTTGCCAATTAAACTGGACACTTCTCTCTTTGGGTGGGTGGTCCCATGCGGACATCGGCAACAGACCTTTAGTGACTCGCTGCGTCTCAAAGGCAGTGGCTCGGCAAAATGGAACATATCAAAATTTCAATATGGAAGGTTGCTTCCACACCTAATATGAGAACGGAGCAGGTCGGAGCGCACAGCATACTGCCCTGCCCAGAGAATTGCCCCTAAAATGTGCGCGCAAGTCATTTTTACACGCGCTCGGACGAGCTTGCGATATCCCTCACACCGTCATGGGCGGCATGCCGCAATGCTATGAACACGAGGCTCGCGCAACGCTACATCTACAACCATGGCGAAAGCATCCACTCGTCCAGATTCAAATGAAGGGCCTTGGAAAATGGTGATTTCGACATTTTCGCGCTCTTCAGGGTGGATTTTCGGAATCAGCGCGTCGAATTACCCCAGATAAGCGAAAAAAACTACAAGTAGAGGATTTGCCGAGCCACTGCCTTTAAGCACCTAGAGCTGGCTTGAAAAGCCCTAGTACGTTTGCCACCTGTATGTATACCCATCCTACCCTATTACCAAGCCTTCCGCGCGACAGCAGAAAGAGTTAATTATCAATTACTAGCTGTTCATCCTAATAATACGAAAGAAACAAGAATACGCTAACAATAAGTAGACTATGGAATCAGTTACTGCTAAGCGAAACCTTAACAAGCGACAAGCTGCGCCTCACTCTGCCGATGGTATCTACGACATTTTACATAGCGCGCAGAGGCTTCACACAAACAGATTCGTCAATTTGGAGACACGGCATGACGGCTCCTCGCTCCCAAAATTTTGTAGATCTTACTAATCGAAACTTCAAAATGTTCCAAAAAAAAGCACTGCCGAGAAACAAACAAAATCTTATTCATTCTTGAATTTGTATAATATGTCATAGTACACTAGATGGCTTACCCGGCTCCGCCCGGCCCTGTCAATAATATATTTGTACAGCATGCTCGATTACCCCCCCCCCCCTGTGCCAACTCCCAGCCCTGTAGCTCAAATTTGGCAAAAAATCGATAAAATCGATATCGATTGATGACGAAAACCGAAAGTAACCTAAGACACTCGCCGGGGCCCGAAGTGTATGTGTGCCAAGTTTGGTCCGGATCGGTTCAGAAATGGAATTTTGTATTCGGAACATACGTACAGACAGACATACAGACATACATACATACATACAGACAGACAGACAAACAGACACTCAGCTTTATATATAAGATTATAATCTATCATTTTATAATATTTTCTCGGGTAGGGGAACGAACTCCGCCAGTATGGACCGTCTCCGCGGACTACCGGTCCTGCAACGACATGCAACAGTATTGCGAAAAGACTAGTTGCCAGCGAAGGCGGGCTCAAATTGGCGGAGTTTGTTCCTCTACCCTATCTTCTCTTCCAAATTCTTCTTTCAGATTGTCTTTCATATATGAAGCCAGCTCAGCTTTATTTCCATCGATTTATCTTAGCCTCCAAGGCACAAGCGCTCAAAACTACCGTTATATTCAGGCAAGTGTTCTCTAAACGTCGGATCGGCTGCGCGGCGTACGCTCTACCATGCATGTGCAATCTGCCCCAATCCCAATCATGCCAAAATTGGCATGGCCGGAGTCCGCGTCGCTAAGGTTTCGCCGTCACGCCCACGGCTTGCTTCTCTGCTCTCTCTTCAATCTTTTTGTTCTCTCTGACAACGCCCATATGCAGCGCAGACCGGTAGCGCTGTGAGCGCGCAAATTTGCACCGACGGTTCGGCTTGATCCCGATTGGCAGGCTGTATGCGTAGCTGCGTACGTCGCGTACGCCTATACGCGGCGTAGTCTGGCTCGTTCCTAGGATGGTTTTGATTCGCCACGTATATCACTTAGCTCTTTGATTCAGGCCATCATGATGGAATCAGCCCGAATCGCTGCAGTGCAATCCCCGCCCCTCGATGTATACCCTTACACCAAATTTGAGTACAACCCATATCAGTTTTTGGATTCATTTTATGCAAAGGTAGGTCTTCGAAAATGTAAAGGGGCTTAAATACAGTAAGAATTTCTGTCGTAGAAAGATGTCTGTAATTCGCTAAAGCAAGCTGCAGATCTTGGGGCACGGGGAATAATTTTATGGAGCACTAGCAAGAATATGAAACAACGATGCGAGGGTTTATCGACGTATGTACGAGGACTGTTAGGACCGTGAGTATTATGGTTAGAGAGCTTCTACAATTCTGAATCTTTCCGTACAGTACAGTAGCGTTGGTTCGCAAGAGAAATCAGCGATGTCGGGAAAAGCGATGCTCATCACACGGCCAGTGCGTTCTCCCAGAGCCAGCAACTCGGTAATTGTCACCCCCTTTTGCAGTATTGCAAACAATACATACATGTTCTAGGTGTACCTTTCGAATGCAACCGTCAAACTACGTCTGTAGATGCGACCCACTCTACACAGGAAACGACTGTTCATTACGAAGACATTTCAAATGGATTCACAATAGGCGAGGGAAAAATGCAACTGCTCCTAACGGCAAAGGCAACAGACGGGGAAGAAGGAGGAAAATCAAAAAATTGAGGTTCATCAAGGTCAGAACTAATTGTACAAATAAACGTAAACCTAGTCTATCGCTTGACCTCGAAATCTGCTAAGGTCTCCGGTGATGCTGGGGGAAAGGCGGAAGATGGTTCACCTGCCACAGCCAAAGCAGTTTTGGTAAACGTCGACATATCAAAGAACCATGGGAAGGCTCGGCCACCTACGACCAGTGCAAGAACGATCATTGGTTTTCTCAATGCCACTGCCATGACGCCTAAGATACTTCCGAAAACAACAACATTAGACCTATCACAATTTGTAACCCCACCGCCTCTTGATTTCCGAATAGCTTAAAAAGTTCGTTTTGTGCATACTTTTTTCTTTCACCAGAGCTTTCTCGGCTTTCAGCGCAAATTTGACATTAGGGGCAATTTACGTTTAGGAGTTTTTCGGCCTCCCTAATTTTTTATTGGGGCAAGCTAGCGCTTTTAGTCATGGAAAACAAAATTACTGTTTTGCTTTTTGTTCGTTGCCATCTATGTGTATACATTCTGCTTAGGAACCCATGGAAAGATAATTGAAATCTAGTCTGTTGCGTGTAAGTACGCTTTTTTTTCTTATTTGATTATAGAGAACACGTGCAGCTTTTTGTACATAATCTAAAAAGATCATTTGAATACTAGTCATTTTATTGTATCTCAGTCTTTTTGCTAATGTGTGACTTGGGTTATGCGTATACGTACAAATAATGACTATCGAATTTTAATGTTTTTTCGGAAATGCAATAAATTATTAAAAGGAGTAAAATGTCACTTTGATAATGTTGAATATTTATTCACTACACAGTATTATACGACAATATAAATTACAATTCTGCTCAACCATCACATCTCAATGCTTTCCTTTCAGCGACAATCTGAGAGGAGTCGACTGAAAAGAATTAATGGATGCTACATTTGAAATGATTTGAGATGTGCAGTGAATTTTTCTCACAATTCGACACGTTTTAGTTACTAAAAAAACTGAATTTTTTTGCAACAACTCGTGAATGAGCGATAAAATTATTTATCCAAAGTACAGCACTTTGTCTCTTCTGCTTAATTTGTCTTACTAAAAGTTCTTCACTAAGACATTCAGACGTGTGTAGGGTTGGCAGCTAATGCAACTTATTTCATAACCCTCCTTTCGAGTGTGGTTCGTTTATTCGGCGTCATATAGCTTAAAGGCTGCTGCACGACGAAGGTGCATTGGCGATAATAGTTGAGCGGGCGCGAACGCGACAGCGCGTATCCTCACCGTTGTAGACTCCGCACCTCATGCGCTCTGCGGCTAATGAAGCCGCGTTCGCCCCCGAAGATATTGCGCCTTTGCAGCAGCCTATACGATGCTGCATATATGCGCGAACTGTTTAAATGGTGATGACAGTATAGATAATCCACTCTTCAAAATTAATAGAAAAGGGGGGGGGTGTTTCTAAGCGACAACGTGCTAGGGCACTGCAAATGATTACAGCATAAAGAGAGGGGCTTAGCTTAGATCATTTTGGTTTCATAACCTTGTCTCTATGTTGTTTCATAGCCCTTCATGAATTTGTCGCAAAGCGACCCTTAAGCAAATTGACGCGCAAATCGTGACTTGGTTTATTTTGTGGATTAAGTGCGGAACCTCGTTTTAAAAACTCCCGAAGCTCTGCCGAAGCTGATAATTGCGCCACAATTGGAAAGAGGCAGTAAAGGAAGTTGCATAATTTAGTTACCGGTCTAATGAGTCTAATGAGTAAGAACAAAAACGTTTTGAAAGTTCTTATCACATTATTTTGTTCAGCTCTGCACTTCAATGTAAAATACAGGGTGGGGCAAAAGTCTGGAAGCCTAGTACTTTTTCATATAAAATCAGAAGGAAAGTGCCTAGGAACAAAAAATTCGGTGTACACATAAATCAAACTTTTACAAATACAGCGCTGCTTTCAAATTTTGAGATTGCCTCTTCTGGCTTCAAAGCAGCTTTTCGAAATCTTGGCGAGTCCGCCTATCGTGGCACGCAGACAGTCATAATGAAATTCGTCCCACTCCTTTACGATAACGTTTCTTTTACCAGGCAAATGCACGGTATGATAGGCAGAGACATTTTTTTGTATTGTTTAGGGAAAAGTTTTGGAATTTTAATCGGAGGCAAGTGTTTTCGTATACTAGAAATTTGGATGTGATTGCACGAACGGGAGCGAAAAATCGTAAGAAAAGTATTGAAATTGCTTGATCAATCGAACTCAAGTATATGCTTGCATAGAAGACTCATGGAAAGAATACAACCTAGAATCAAGTGCCTGCTATGTTCCTATAGCTTTCAAATTTATTTCTAAAAAAATGGCCACTGGTACGCAGGTAGCATTTACAAATTTTTATTTTGCGTTTTCGAAAGAATAATATCTGACAAACGCAACGACTGCGAATTGATAGCGCAAAGTCTCCTCTACATTGCGTGCCTCGAAGTGTTCTAGAATACAACTGTATCTTTAGCTACGAAATAAGTTGTGAAGACTAAAAATTTCGATTTTCTCGCTTTGCAGAGCACTTGTTTGATAAATCCAACTCCTACAAAAACATATGGCAAGCATTTTCAGCCAGCCAAAGTGTGATTTGTAGAAGATGATCGCAGCAATACGGGGCTCAAATTTGGAATCAAAATCATCAGTAGTTTCTTGATTTACAGCACTGCAAATAGGCTCCCAGACTTTTACCCCACCCGTATATCGATGACAACTTTGATCGAGTCGAACAACTATAGTCTTGAGAGCACCTCAATGATACAAGAGGACGCCATCTATGGGATTTGCTTAGGAAAGACTATTAATGTGTATTTTTTGGGAGACAAGTGCTGATTGTAGCCATGCGCTAAGATACCTAATCATCATACTTATATGCTTGAGACTGACATACCCTAATTTCACGCGTACAAGGCGCGGGATGGTCCTAGCTTTCATCGACCAGCCCGAACACGGCAAAGGACTTCGCAACCAAAGGAACCCCATACCGTGCTGCGTTTTGCCTGACGAATCGTGCGGCATAAGGATCGCTTCTTGAAACACGTAGGGGCGGCTGAGCAGCTCGATGGAAGCTAGGACCACCCCGCGCCTTGTACGCGTGAAATTAGGGTAGTTATCGATCCTAACTGTTAACATCTCAATAAAAGTTCCAAACCAAAAATTTTTTGAGTGCTACTAACCATAAGAATTCGAATAATCCGTCAGCTGGAGTGTGAATATTAGTTTTATTGTTCTTTTATGGTACTCTCTTCGTACAAAGAATTTCGATTTGTTACTACTTGTATGCTGTTGCTTTGAAAATTAAATGCAAGATTTGACGTAAACCTTACTGCATGATATAGTGTTGCATTTCTTCCCTTCATTGAGTTGAACAAGTATCCAGCCTCCTATTGCTTCTTCCAGTGCAAGCCTGAAGACGAATCAGTGCGTGTCACTTGGGTATAAAACGAAATGTGAGGTGAGAAATAACTGGTTAGGATCAAATCTGTGGTTTGTTCAACGTGAAAACCTTGATATTTACCTATCGCCTCATAATAAAGCTGGAAACTGCTTTGTTAATCAGATTTTTCTTCTACAGTATGCGCGCAAAGGTGCGCATTGTGCACTGACAAGGGAAGGATACTTGGTCGAAGTGGCCTTTCCATATGAAATGCATACTATCTTATAGAACATGCCACCCTAATTCCAAATCTGCCTTCCTTATCTGCAAAGCGCTTCCGGGAGGCGAGTTATGAATACTTTTCGATGCAAAAATTTGAAAGCGCGGCTATAATAAAAGCATTCAGAACTTTGATCTGTGAGCTCAAATGAAGCCACGATTAAAACGAGGGGCTTTTATGTAACAAACATCTTCAATCTAATACACTCATGCCAGTCATTACTCCTTTCATCCGAAAAGATCTTAACACTTGTTTTTATCTTAGTCAAAACATTGAATTTTTACCTCAAAACATTTCTAGAATTTCTTTTCCAAATGCACTTTGCAGATAATGAAAGTGGATTTGGAATTAGCGTTTTATGCTCTTTAAGACAGTATACATTTCATATGGAAACGCCACTTCGACCAAGTATCCTTCCCTTGTTAGACATTCACGTGTACAGTTTATGGAATTTTTCCATGGCTAAAATACGCAGAACAAAAATAGGTCAAAAGTGAGAACATGTCGGGTTACAAATCAGAAAGTTTAGTTTTCTCGCTTTCGAGTCATGGAAAAACCACAAAACCGGGCATATGCCTGATTTCGAGGGTATATGAGTGAGTAAGTTGGGGGTCTCTGAAAGTTTTGAAGGAAAAGGAAACGATTCTTCTTTGAAATCTCAAGCCTTTAGTGCCTTTCGGAATTTACCTTCAAATTTTATGCAAAACAAACTTGGCGCGAAGATTCAAGCTTCATTTTGTAGAGCTTGCTTTGGTCTATTGGCGGTTGGTACCCCACTTGCTTTTTTTCGTGCTCAGCCACCGCGATACTGCATGGTAAAGCACAATGCATCATTACCTTCCTTACAACCTGATACTTGCTATTCCTAGTGTTATTGACTTGACACATAAGTTTCGCGATTTATTTGCAACTTTTCTTTCCCAGAATGTGGAAGGCTCCTTTGATATAATGCGGATTGGGTGTTGAGTTAAATATTGTTGAAGAGGAACGAGTACGATAGCTCTTGCGTGACAGCAATGCACTTCTTCGTAGCATGCATCCTTTGTTTTGCGCGGACATCTAACGCCTCTAAACTTTAGCGTATTAAGGTGTCACTCTTGAACAACAAGATTTGGCTCCTGGTTGAAAAGCTATGCTGTTATGCCGTATAAACGGTGAGACCCCAAAGCTGTGCTGACAGACTCCTGTAGTTCGTTTAGACTTTTGCTCACAAGGCAGCAAAGCGAGCACCGCAGAGAGAGCAAAAGAACATGGCCAATTATCACGAGTGTGGGTTCCGTTTCTAGGCTTTATGAAAACGAAGCCCTGTCTGACTTTCGAAAATTTTACGAAGTCCCCCTTGACCCTTGCTCTATCCCCCCCCCTCCAACCCTCCGACTGTTGGTGGATTCACGCATACTCACTTGATCCTTGACAAAACTATTTACCTGCTGCGAGCTGAAAATTTCGTGATTTCAGGTCAAACTCTCAGAGAAAAACCACAAAATTACAAAGTTTTGTTTCGTAGAGCCCTGCATGGTTACAGAACAGATAAAGATAGATCACGAGCACAAGGAAGAAGAAGAAAGAAGAGTGAGGAAAAATATCAAAATATTGAACAAAGTTGGAACTGAAGATGCTCAAAGGGCGAAGACGCAGAAACGTTGACGCTGGGCGCGATATCTAACAAGGCGATTTTCGTAAAAAAGGGTAAAAAATTGCGGACAGGACGCGATATGAAAGTGTCTCTAAGCTCAATGATAGATTCTTGACCGGGGCATCCGTTTAAGCTAAAGAAATCCGACTTATGTGAAGTGACGGAAATATATGCTCCAGACGATCTCAGATCGTCTGGTGGCTGTCTGGAAACTGACTAATTTTGGAAAGTTATTACTTCACATAAGTTTTCAAATATTTTTACATGATTCTTTCGCAAATAATTTTTTGTGCATAGAGTTCAATTTCAATGTCGTATGATTCTGTGTGCACTGTAAACAAGCAATTTGTTTATTTTAGCCTTGCTTTTCGCCATACACGATAGAGCCTGTCAATCGTGTGATAACCTGTCCGAAAAGCTTGAGTTTGACTAAATGGTTATCCTTGCTGCTTGGCTCCGACTCCGCAAATCGATATCCCCTCTGCTTTTTGCTCCAAAAACGAAGTCCAGTCTGCTTCCAGACGATCGGCGCCGGGCCCTGACTCAGTAGATAGAATCGCACGGCATCACAACGTAATTTTGGGTTACAAATGCAATATGAAATCACTGAATGTCAAATTGTTACAAACGTAAACGATGCGCGCAAGCTATCTGTAGGCTATTGACCGAGCTTCAATCTTCGTTATACTTGTGAAGATTAAGCATTGCCGCTTAATGACTTTTCTATTTGCGTGCCTCCAATGCACAGTATCAAGAAGGTTCGGACGATACTTCACTCTGAAGGACTATTGTTGACGAAGGCAACATATGACCCCAACTCTTGCAGTTGCGTTTATGTCCAAAATAGAGACACCGATAAAGACGAAGTTCATAGCTAATTTGTAGACACAAAGAATTCTGCATAGTATGTTCCAGCCAAGCAGAGTTACATGTCTTTTTTAAGGTTCAGCATGCCCTAGCATATTACAAGAGAACCCCAGCAATACTGACGAGCGTGCCTCCATGTAGAATTTTACCTGTCGAAGAAAGGATGCAAGACTAAAATGTTGTAAACAATAACGATAACATATAAATTCATAACTTATTCGCTCATTCAAGGTGAAAAAACGGTGAGAAGTGAAATGTACAAGCCGCTGCTTCAGTTATCTATTCTTGAAGAGCGTTCTTGATTTATCGGTGTTGCGAACAGGACTGCGAAACAGAACGATTGCAGGCGTTAAATTCAAAGCGCGCAAATGCGATCAACCCGACCAGAAAGACGACGGTAAAGTAGCGTTTCGTCTGCTATACATTTTTCATAGATTCGTACGCAGTCCGTTTATTTATTTATTTATTTACTAGCTGGCTTACCCGGCTCCGCCGTATCCGGACCAAACTTGGCACACATACACTTCGGGCCCCGGCGGGTGTCACAGTCCACTTTTCGTTATCGATCGATGTCGATTTTACCGATTTTTATCGATTTTTTTGCAGAGTTCACCTACAGGGCTAGGAGTTGGCACAGGGGGGGAAGTGAGCATGCGGATTCCGAATACAATATTAGTTTTCAGAATTATCGATTACTTTTATTGATTTTATCGATTTTTTGTAAATTTTGACATGCGAGGCTGGGATTTTCACAGGGGGGTAATCGAGCATGCTGATTACGAACACAATATTAGTTTTCAGGATCGTCCATTACTTTTATCGATTTTATCGATTTTTTTTGTAAAGTTTGACCTGCGGGGCTGGGAGTTTGCACAGGGGGGTAATCGAGCATGGGGATTCCGAATACAATATTAGTTTTCAAGATCGTCCATTACTTTTATCGATTTTATCGATTTTTTGAAAATTTGAGCTAGGGGACTGGAATTTGGCACAGGGGTGTAATCGAGCATGCTGATCACCCTCCTTGGGGATTATCAGCATGCTCGATTATCCCCCTGCGCCAACTCTCAGCCCCCTAGCTCAAACTTTGCAAAAAAATCGATAAAATCAATAAAAGTAATCGATAATCCCGAAAACCAATATTGTATTCGGAATCCCCATGCTCGATTACCCCCCTGTGCGAACTCCCAGCCCCGTAGCTCAAACTTTGCAAAAAAATCGATAAAATCAATAAAAGTAATTGATAATCCTGAAAACCAATATTGTATTCGGAATCCCCATGCTCGATTACCCTCCTGTGCCAACTCCCAGCCCCGTAGGTGAACTCAGCAAAAAAATCGATAAAAATCGATAAAATCGATATCGATCGATGACGAAAAGTGGCCTATGACACCCGCCGGGGCCCGATGTGTATGTGTGCCAAGTTTGGTCCGGATCGGTTCAGAAATGGAATTTTCTATTCGGAACATACGTACACACAGACAGACATACAGACATACATACATACAAACAGACATTCAGCTTTATATATAAGATTTATTGAGTGCATCCATTGATGCGCCAAAGGAACGTGATTATGAAAAAAACATCAAATAACACGTTAAAGAGTAAAACACCAAAGCGAATGAGCGAAGAAACCATGCGTGCTTGGCGGGCAACCTCTTTCAGTTTCCTCTTACATCGCTACCATGGACGAAAATATATCATAAAGTAGAACAAATTACTGTGTATCATGGTGTGAGAGCCTTGAGCTTATCACTTGGAGCGAATCTAAAGAGGAGAGCACCAAGCAAATGGACTAATCCATGCGTGCTAGGCGGGCAACTGAGTAGCCTCTTTCAGCCTCCTCTTACATCGTCACCATGATACAGATATAACAGCGTCAAAATGAAAAGGATAATATATTAGGAAGTTCCAAATGATTTGAAACCTCAATGAAAATATGAAAAGGATACCATGTCATGTATGAGAGACCGCTAGAGATCACTGGCGTACCGAGGGCGCCCCCCCCCCCCCCGAGAATAGGTCGATAAATATTTGAAAGTTACTCAAATGTGTTATAAAAATGTGCAGAGGACTTGTTTACACTTGTAAATAACTAAAGTAATTTTTAAAAATTCAAATTTGCTTTGTAAAAAAATTTTTTTCGGGGCGTGGCTGCCGCCACGCTTCCTCTTCCTGAAATTTTGGGGTCATGAGTCCGAAAAAGTTTTAAGAAACATCCCAAAAAAATTTCGGAGTGGTGGCTAACGCCACGCACCTTCATTAAAAATTTTTTTGTCGCGTCCCTCCCCCCCCCCCCACCCCCGAGCCGAAATCGTGGGTACGCCACTGCTGGAGATGTATATGATATGTAAGTAAGTGAACCATAAAAACGTGTGGTTCAAGCAGAATACGTTGATATTAACCGTTGTTGCTCAAAAAGGAGTCAATTTGATTAGCAAGTGCTGTCAGGGCTATTGATAAACTTCATGCCGATGAAAAAACACTTTAAAATCGCTTATACAATCGCACGTATACTTCACCCCAGATCTGTTTGTTCTTTCAGTAAAGAATGTGGCTGTTTAGTTTCCAGGTGTAGTTACCTTATTATAGTACATGTTTGCTTGTGGAGATACTTACACTTGTGAAATCGACGACCTCTTTGCTACCGCTTAAAGAACATCTAAACTTAAAAGAGAAGTCATATACAACTTTGGTGTCGCAACGGTTGATACGGCATGACAGTATGGTTTTCATACTGGGGTTTATACTCTGTCGTTACAACCTCGTATCAAAACTTTACGAGCGTTTCGGATATTTGCGCGGGCCATAAGATGAACGCTAACGAAGAGTACATTCTATTACGCAAGAGCTATCATGATCATCTTTATGCAACCATACGCAACAAAAACATGAAAAAAAAGAGATAATTTTGTTGCAGTGCTCATTAGACTCCAGAGCTGTCACCCGAGGTGCAGTATTGTTCCGGTGTACTCTTTTTCTTGGTCAATGTGGGTCTACTTTATTGATATCAAAGAGATCACTCAAACTTCTGCTGCGCAGCCGCTGATAAAGGCGAAGTCGCTGAAACGCTAGCCAATGAAGAATGTATCAGTCTTATTCGCAGCAACAATAATATACAAAGAGTGAAGTTTTGCAGCCTGATCAGAAGCTTCAGTCCAAAACTGTTCAAAAGTTGCTAGATGAATAATTAACAAACCATGCACAGTTTCGGCTCCATGAGTCAAAGATGAGAGGCAGAATCGCTGCAAACTTTACTCTCTCAAATATAGCGGCATGCGCACTTTCTTACTAAGAATTAACTATTAGGCTAGGCTTTCTTCTTAAAGGCAGTGTCCAGGCAAGTCTGGTTTTTTTTGCCTGGAAACTGATAAGGGGGTCCTAGCTAAGGCACTGCCCAAACGGCAGCGCAAATGATTCGTTCCCGGCTGAGAAATCCATTCCCAAACACTCCGCCCGTGACAGTAACACTTAGATTGGATCCTAACGAACGTAGTGTTAAGCGGTCGTTTTTGGGCTACGGTCACGGCGCAGGCGCGGAATTCTCAGGGACAATGCTTCAGCCATGATTGAACCATTTGTGCTGCCGCTAATGCACCTAAGTTAGGACCCCCTCATCAACTTCCAGGCTAAAACCTATGCGCCCAGATTTGCCTGGACGCTGCCTCTAAGGCCTAACATCAGGCCGGAAGGTTTCTAGTTTTTGGTCGACGTTATGTCTTTGAAGTTGCGCCATGGCCTGCAGTCCCGCTTTCACATAACACTGAAATCCCACGACCCATATTCAATCGAACACTGGTTCAAGTTACAGAGGTGACGAGTGATAAAGGACGAAGTCTGAAGCAGGTTGACTTTTAATCTTAATAAGCAGCGAGCGCATAAGAATGTTTCAGGATGCATATTTATGACGGTGCCGCACAGAATGCCAGTTATTCAACTAAAAATTGCCCGAGCTGAAAACGCATATGCCACATTTATTTATAGCTAGGAATATAACATATACTTCTTTCTTCACCTGGGAGATTTCCGCTACATTGTGTAATCCTCCATCAAAGCTAAAAGCGGATTGACATCAATCATTATTGTCTTGTTTCATGTATGGTGACGTGGTATCACTGTCATGTTCTGCATTTGTTGTTCACCACAAATGCATGTGTTTCTGCTTACACTCTTTCCTAATAAATTGAGCATCAGAGTGTGTGTCTGTAGCAAAAGCAAGTGCGGATTATTAGCGCAGTGGCAGCACCCTGTAATATCCATATAGTGCTGTAGATAGCGGGCCGGTGGCTTAATTCTGCCGGGAAAGGGACAGGATGCATATTAGTCGCCCGCTTTATTCTTTAGCGAGAGGCATGATCGCTCGCCCGGAAGGCACTGCGCCCGTTAAAATTATTGTCTGAGTATGAGCCAGCATATAAACTCAATGCGCAAACTGGTAACTGCAGTTCATTCGCTTATGCCCGTGCCCTGATGCCCAGACTACAGTTTGATTTTCGACACATAATATACCTTTTATTGGGTTCAGTTTGTAACATCATACGAATTAGGAAGTGAACTGCGAATGGAGTTTGTTTAGGAATCTGCAAAAGAGTTGAGTAGATTGGCTCATTGGTTGCAGTCGGAAAACCTCAATTTCTCTCGCTAATACTTCTTTCATGTTATTGAAAGGACGGTAACCAAAAATCATTTCATAGAAAACTATACCAACTGACCAAACGTCGCACTAAAAATAAAACAATGTCTTTCTTTCTCGCACGATGCTTACTGTTTAGACGCAAAGAGTGCGGTCAACCTGTGGGGCGTAAGAGTTTGACAAGAACGTTTCCGGAGCAGCGTAAGCGTCGGATCCATAAAACTTCTCGTGTTTTTCTCCCGGTCCTAGCGCTACTCCAAAGTCGGTTATCTAAAAATAAACAGTCAAATCTGTGAAGACATGAGGTAAGATCGCATTGTTTTTGCTATCGGAGAAATTGCGGATTTTGGCATCAGATGTAAATTCCTCATGTTTTTAGCTATCAGTAGGATGTCGCGCACAGCTGTTGCTTGATGATATGGTCTCATGCATACAAGTAGCTGGCAGTGCATAGTCAGAATTATTCGGGTAGAGGACTATATGTCGTCAGAGCGGGAGGATCCCGCGCGGAAAATGCAGCAGATACTCAGCACTGGCATGTACTGTGGTATGTATTTGTTGCACATGTCCGGCGGGACCTCTCACTTTCGGCGACATATAGTCCCCTACCCGAGTTATTCGCATGTACAACTAACGCATTTGCTCTAACATTATTTCACTCATATATCTGTGCCTTCTTTCAATCATATTATTTTTATCTGCAACTCATCTTCTAGTAACATCATTTTGTTTTTTGTTCTATTCGTGTTTGTTGTTGTTATCAGAGAAACACAAAGTTTTCTGTGAGAATTTTTTTGTAACATTCAGGGAAAAATTGGAAAGCTGTAATTGATTAAGTTTCAACCTATTAAAGGAAACTACCAAGAAACTTGAATTTTACTGAGATTATGGTTTCTAGGTTTGAAGAGCATAATGAAACAAAAAGCGCGTCAAAATTTGAATTGCAAGTACTTTAAGTAGATTCCTTAGAGTGATTCATGTTGAAAATCGCAGCACAATAATTGTAGTAGATACGATTCTTGCAGCCTGATTGTATGCGTTTGTCAATGAAGTTCTTAGTTTATCACAACCACGTACGAGTCCGTTCCTTTCTTTTCACGTTTGTTAGGAGACGCCAACAAATTTCCACCTATGCCTTCCATTGACTTGTGTAAACTGGTGCGGTCATGAATCCTCCGCGAGTACGGTAAATAAGGAGGGGCAGGAGGGGCAACAGCATTCGACCGTAAACTTCTCAGCAGTTTCGAAGTGTTTGTCATAACGAGGGCTCGGATACTTAAGCTACAAGCTCATTACTTTGTTGTCCATGTTCAACTAATTCACCGCTTTCTTCTCATATCTTGAGCAGGGGTTGCTAGGTTGCTAGACTAATAAACCTTAGTAATACTTGTTCCGCAATGTCCCGTTTTTGCCACTTCAAAAAAACTTCTGAAATGACGAATTTCATAAGCTTATTTGAAGCCGACCTTTGCTATCTTTTATATTTAGTCCTCCTAACACATTTAATTTTAGGAAAATCGTCCGTTTCTTGCAATTTATTCGCTCCTTACTAGTACCAAGATAAGGTAGTTATTTTCTTCTCTGCAAACTATGCAAGATTTGCAAGCAGTTTTTCACTATCAGTTCACAACGTGCGGCTTCGTAAATCAACCGTGATATTCTGAAGCAATAACTGCTTATTTATCGTATGGAATTGAAGTTTAGCAAGATATCGGGCCTCGTAACCATCAAACTCTGAAGATCTGTCTATTGCTTATACTGTATTATGTAACATTTTCGGTTGAATCTCTTGCTGTTTTAAAGTGCCCGGTTTGGCTTCACATACAGATATACAAATAGCTGGAATTTCTACCCTAAGTACATACCTTAGCAAGTCCATCTTTTGTAAGCAGTATGTTATCTGGTTTAATGTCACAATGTACAATTTTCTTGTTATGCAAATATATTAGTCCATTACAAGTATCAGTGAATATGCTAGAATTCCGTTATCGAGGAAGAAAGCTAATTGGTACGTCCCATCAACCTCACCTTGCTGCTAAGTAATTCTCGAGTTTTCCTCTATCTTCCAGCAACATTTTCAGGCTACCCATATCACAATATTCAAGTAACAGCACTATTTTTCTCTTGTCTTTAAATCCGTAGTTCAACAGAACGATCGACCTATGCCTGCAAAAACCTTATGGGCGTTTAAGAGTGGCAAAGTTTGCGCTTGAATCAGTGATAGGAAGTCCTTATAAGCAAGCATTGTAAGCATTAACAGAGACATGTGCTGCGCATCCCTCTATAGTTTGAAAGCATTACAAGGTACGCCCAAGAATAACTTAACGATTTCCAGAAGGAAGCTTAAATGTAGGCATAGAATCTTGTGCAAAGGACTCAGATCTCCGTCTTTTATAAGCACTATAAGTACTTTTTCTCTCTCTCTCTTCCTCTCCCCTCATAAAATATTTTTTTGCGAAGCAGAGCGAGACACTGTTGCACAAAGCGTGACGGTTCTTGATATCGAGAGAGAGAGAGAGATTGAAGAGCAGTGTTCTGACGTAGAGGTTTAACAGGTTTGTTAACGTTTTCACATGTTTGCATTGCTTCGCCTCTACATGAATCTGTGAGCCAGATATATACCCTCAATATCAACCCATATGTCTTCCCTTCCTGATGTGGATTACGTTCATTGATGAGGCGCCACTTCGCTTGGGGCTCGCGCCACATTGCGAGCGCATCGTTTGCGCGACGTGGCGCTCTTAACAACGTGGCACAGGCTTTTTCACATTGTTATTGTTGCCACATCATGCCGAAGATGCGCGCGCAACGTGGCGTGAGCCCGAAGCGACGCGGCGCCTCATCAATCCACCGTAATTCACGTCATGTTGAGGGAAGACATATGTGTTGAATCGAGGGTATATATGTAAACGCTAGAAGTCGCCCTTCAAAACATCTCTAACATTTTCAGTCGTCAAGACAGGGTCATTATTTCCATGCTCCAACATGATTTTTCGCAGAGCGAATTCAACATTGTATAAAAAACAAGCGCTTTGTTCAATGCATTGGTATAACACTAAATTTGGTCATATGTAAGCGTGAGGACCGACTAAGTCTGAAAACTCGTGCATCCAAAGTAGCTGAAAGCACAAGAGGCAACCAGGCCGCAATCCTTGAATTGCATTGTTTCATTATTTTCTCTTATATGAATCGTATTTGCCCATCAAATGTTACAAAAAGGGTGATATTTTAATCCATCCTCTCCATTACAATATAACTCTCTGATTTCCAACGGTAACACTATCCGGTTCCGATTGCAACAGCGCGCCAGGGACCAAGGAATAGCTCGTTAAATACTGCATCACTTCACCTCATATTTCGAGTCAGGCTACATACATTTCTCTGTCTTTTCAGTATAAATGGTAATCTATTTTTGAGCTTATGATAGTGTTATGCATGGACCAACTCCCCTTTTTAATGCTTACAAGGGAATACTAACATAGATTCGACTTTTGAGATGAAACACATAAAATATGCTGCTCCTAGCTGCTTAGCATCATTCTGAAGCGAGTTATGGTCTCTTTTCTATGCAAAGTTTGCGTGCTTCTCGACCTGCTGATGCTACGGTGTCGACGTTTAGGTGGTTTCGCAATTATATAATGCTCCCTTTTAAGACCGGAAGAATTAATCTGATGCCAGTCTAACATCCTAGCACTTTTTTGGAGCAGATTCTTGTCTACATGCCGTCTTACGACTTCAGAAGTTTGTTAGTTACAAATGCAAGTACATAACTCGCTTTGGAATGAACGCTAAGCAGCTAGGAATAGCATGGTTGAAATCGGCGTTCAAAGCTGATTCCAAATGTATCTTTCACATCTCAAAAGGCGAATCTTAGGTAGTATCCCTCCCTTGTTAGCACAGACTCAAAATGAGTCATAACTGCGCAAAATATTCTTTGTTTTATAATAATAAAATATTTTTGAATATCAAAAGTCTTTGAATATCAAGAAAAATTAACAACTGCTTCGTAAAAAATTTATAGACACCCACACTTTTTTTATGGTAATAGGTTGTCCCGAAAGTTTTGTCGGTTTTTTCAAACCACTATAAAACCACGCACAATGAAGACCTGAAAGAGTTTCAACATGCATTCGATGCAGCTCTTCATCCTCTTTCTTGAGGTTACAAGAGCCAAGATCCTGTACGGTTATTTTGATAATGCCACAACTCTTCACTCGTCATTATCTGCTCAAAATTGGGCTAATTTTTAAAAATTTCATTCCTAAGTTTTGGAAAGGACTAAGCATGGCACAAATAGGACGGTTCTCGGGCTATACGGTAATATTTTTAGATTCTCCTAAATTGCTTTTCCTAGCTTTAGAGAATTATTTTTTCAGAGGTCTCGATTTCTGGCAAAACCATGGAACATGCAACTGCGGCAAAAACATGAAAGCTTTTGGATTTCTTGCGAATTAAAACCTTAATTGCTATTAAACATTATTTAGCAACATAACCAACTTTAATTTGCTTTGAAAAATCAGCTTTTTGGAATTTTTGGTAATTTTACGTAGTAAACGTAATCAAAAAGCCGTGGTTTTTCTTGAATAAATAACTATTTAAGGCTTGATAAACGTGACCCATGTAATCTAAAATAAGTATAATATAGCCGAAGAATGCCTCTACACAACAGTTATCAGCGCTTTTCGAAAGTAGTAGGAGAAAAATTTTTGAAATTCAGAAAAGATTCGGCGTTACTGCCAAGCTGTTCAGAAAGCCATGGCGATAACATTGCGAAGACAAGGTAGATCAAAGGACAAATACAGCTTAAGAAAGAGGATGAAAATCTGAATTAAATGATGCCTAGACCTTCCTTGAATTGGTGTTCTGCGGGTTTTAGTGAGCGATGGGAAAAACCGACAAAACTTTCGGGACAGCCTAATATATCTCAAAAAACAAAAGAAACGAGTAAGGTTTGGCAAGCGTTGTTGATTATGGCATACAATCTGCTTATATGCATCTACATACGTAAAAGAGCAAAATACACGTCATAACATTCTTCATGCAATAGATAATAACAGCAGTATAAGACCGAAAATATCTGAGAAATTTCTGCAACCTTACCTACCTCAATTCCATCATAACAAGGATCTCTCTAAGCGCCAACTGTTTTTGATGAGCCGTACGAGGATTGATTACCTGAACAATAGGCCAAATTCAAATGTCTTGTGACAAGGAGGCAATGAGAATGTATGGAAGAAAAAACGTACTTTCATAGCATAGAAGCGATCATCACTCGTTCCTTTTCGTTTTGCTTTGTAAACCTTTCCAAAGGTACCTCTTCCAAGTAAACCCACTTTCTCATGATTCTTTATCTTGTCACTGAATGTCTTATTCGTACAAGGGAAGGAACCAGGCCGCATTGGCAACTAGGGAAAAATGCAAATCGACAATGGCCTCTTCATAAACTGGATATCATATCTGCTTTTATTATCCGTGACATGCTTTTGGAAGAAGTCGTTAGCGCTGAATTCCAAATAAGTACCAGGTGTGGCATACCTGCGACATACCTTTTTCTTTTTCGTGAATGCCTTTCGAGTGCATTCCTTACTTACTGTTAGCATGAGCATTTATTGTGCTCTTCAAGCCGACATTTGTTATACTTGAATTGAGACTTCAATACCTTTGCAGTTTTAGCGGTCATAATTTTTCTATAGAAGATGGTTTTGCCAATAAGGAAAGTCAATTTAAAATTAAGTTTCATAGGCGCCTCTAGTGGTATGAACTCTACTCAAATTGACAGTGAGACTTGGTATCCTTCCCTTGTTAAAAATAAGTATTGTTGGCTTGTGTAAACCAGACAGTACATCATTTCTAAATTTGTATCTAAAGCAGTAGTGCTCAAACTCTGCCTCAAGCTTTGTAGAGCTGGAAAGCTTTTTTCTATAAAACCGGGACCCGTCAATGCAGGAGTCTTTATTTTATCATGAGAAAGCGTAAAGCACAAAGATTTTTCTAGAAAGCTCAGAATAAAAAGCCTGGCAAGCAGAAAATTGATAATCAAATAAAACTCTTGAATATGAGTGAACTTAAATGGAAAATGAACTTACTTAAACAGTTCCGGCATCAATTTGTTGGAGTACCCAACGTACTGAAAATCATCAAAAAATCCACAGTAAATAGATTAGACTTGACGGTAGATCTGACGTCAGTATAATGCCCTCCTCCTGACAAGAACATTTGCATGAAAACAAATTTCATGCTTGTAAATGCCATCGGCTTGCTGTGATTTTCGCGTATGGTTATGAAGTGCATATTGCTGTTGCTTTTATGTAGATAATGTCAATACAACACTTGGCTACAAGTAAAATGAGCCACTAGCTCGTAAATGGATTTACCACATCTCTGTTACAGATAACTTTTTTGCTAAACTCTGCTAGGGACCATTGACAAACCTATTAGATGCGCTAATATTGTTGGCGCTCACAGACCGTGTGCGGCATGCAGGTTGCAGGTGTGCGTTTAGAGGTCCATTCTGTGTGTCTATACGAAATTGCTTCTCATTCATGCATCATAAAACATGGTAAAGTTACGGCAACGATAAACTATGAATGGAAAACCTTAGTAAATTCAGGAAGATTCACGGAAGTGGAAGGCATAAAGACATTTTGAATGCTGCACTTAAAAGAAATACGAATATGCAGAAAAAGAAGTCACATCTTTAAGTGAGTCACTGTGCTTCTATGCCTGAAAAGCATTTCGAAGACAAAGCAGCCGCTGATTTGCGTGTGACTTAATAAATTTCTCTAGCACTTTCTAGGAGCTCAACGTAGCGAAAAAGTGAGCATGCCTTGTATGTGTGATCTTTGCATTCACGGAAGAACTTACAGGTGAAGCAGTATTGTTAACTACGGCGTATGTAAATGCAAACAGACCTTTTTCCAGTCATTTCTTCGCAATAATATTTTCAGCCGTCGCCAAATACGCTTCATTAGATCATATTCAAATTTAAGCTAAACGCTTGATGAGCAGCACATCAAAGGTTCTAAAAAACGCTGCCGCACCTAACCAAGCACTACGGAAGAAATGAAACTAACGACAGCTTGCAGTCCCCTATTTTTGTGAAAAAAGGTATTATCATTAGGCTTTGGCCATTCTTTACCCGTGTTACTCCTGTTAGCAGTGTTACGTTACTCACCTTACTATGTTACCAGTGTTACCAGTGTTACTCGTTTTGCCAGTGTTACTTGTGTTATGCGTTACTCGTCTTACCGCTTTGATGCTGTTGAGTAGTGAAATGATCACAAATGTGCAATCTCATTCATTTTGAAACGCAATCTCGTTGACTGGTAACACGAGTAACACAAGTAATACAAGTAACACTAGTAATACCGGTAACACGGGTAAAGTATGGCTAAAGCCTCAGACAATGATGGGCAACACCTTTTTATCCGCAACTTTCACGCTTCCTGCTGCTCTTCACAGGCATTCGTCGTCGACGGAGGACAAAATGAGGTGGAAGCTGGAATGTCTGCGCGACTTACGAAGAAAATTGAGACAGTTGTTTGTGTATGTGGGTACAAAATGCAGGAAAAGCGAGTGTCCTGACCGACACTGTCCGCTGAAAACCAGAGAAACACCGTACAGGAAACAGCGTTATTCCCGACCTTGTTTTGACTACGTAGCTCACGCTTTGGCTATGCTTTGTCTATTGTGAGATCTCCAGTCTCGCCCAGCCCGCTGCATCAGTCAAGTTAGATGGTAAATCAAAATACGTCTAAAAGGCAGCGGCTCGGCAGATTTCCAGCTTCGGGGTTTTGGCAGATTTGGGGCTATTCCGGCCCCCTGAATCACGACATGAACTCCCCTTGGCGCGAAAATGGGGAAAACCCCGTCTTTTGAACCCCCCCCCCTTGAGACGGGCGCGGACGAGTGAGCCGTTTTTCTTTGCCGTCAGAGACGCAGAGTAAGGAGGTAGAGAGCGCTAGAACAATTCTGCCCTACGAAGCTACGAGTGACGGCGCGTTTTCTAGCGAGGAACATAACCGTCCGAACAAGGTGTTAGGGGAGCGAAAGAAGAAAGGGAAGCGGCGGTTGGGTTGCCCACTGGTAGTTCACATTTCCGGCGCGGAGTTGCTGTTTTGGTTCACTTTAAGGGCCTCCTATCCATCTGTGTCAAAATCTGAGGTAGGTTCATTCTGCCGAGACGCTGCCTTTAACTCTTGCGTCACCATTCAGTAAAAAAGAGTAAATTCTTATTTTCCACTCTGCCACTCGTAAGTCTCAGCCTTATACTTCGAAACTTATTTCAAAACAGCAAACATAACTGCCAAAACGCCACAATGCTGCCTGACAATAGGAATAAACTCGGTGCAATGCGATTACTGTCCCATGATAACTCAAATTAAAAAAAGAATTTGTCGCGGTTCTGGGTAACCTTAATATGTATTCTTGAATTTTTCGTTTTGGGGAAGCCACTTTTGAATTTATTTCTGTTGCAGTAAAGGTGATTATAACGTACCTTTTTTGGAAAACATGCGCTATACACGGATGATATTGTGTACGTATACCTTGAGGGCAGCGTCCAGGCAAGTCTGGACATATGGGGATCTCATGTGGATAGTAATTTTGGGACCCTAACTAAGCCACTGCCCAACCGGCAGCTCAGAGGGTAGTGCTCATACGGCTGAGATACTCCCCTCGAAACTGGACCCCGCGATCGTATTTAGCATGGATTTATGGCGCAAAGCGTGGATCCTGGCGCGAAACTGCCATGGATCCATGCGTTTCGAGGGGAATATCTCAGCCGTTAGAGCGCCACTTGCGGTGCTGCTTGAGCAGTGCCTTAGTTAGGGCCCCAAAAGTACTTTCCACGTAAATTCCTCATAGGTCCAGATCTGCCTGGACGCTGCCTTCAAGGAATATCAGTTTTTCCAATCCAACTTTATGCTGTCTTTGAAGAAAAAGAGTTAGAAATGCTTATTTTGGACTCTTGGTGCTCGGAGTTTAAGGATAAATAAAAAGAGGATTTAAACACGATTTCAACAATTTCGAAAACAGTGATTTCAAGCGGTAGCTATGGTAGCTTTGGTCTAAAATTGATAATTTAGGATTATAGCGGGCATATCAAACACGGTGCCGTTTTTCTAAGGCGCCTGTAGGAGGTCCAATTGAGACGTCACACATTTGAGTTACAAGCTGGCTATTGAGTGGATCATCATCCAGTAGATGCGAAATAAATTGGCTCTTTTATCTTCGTTTCGTCACCTTTATGAACAAAGTAATACATATATCAATAAAGAAAGGCAAATAATAAATACAAAATCACAGCTCTGGCTATAGCACAATTACATAAAAATGGCCATATGAGCACAAATTACACGTATTTCTACACACCTGAATCATAAATACATCATCAGAAAACGAAAAAGCTGTGTTGAATGCAAGTTCGAATGTTTTTTCAATCATCGTTATATGGAGGCCTACTAATCTTCCACAATAACTACATAGATATCTCAAAGCTATTTGTGATTGCCACTAAATTTATTACTTGCGAATTCGAGAGTAATGGGAAGATCTCTCTTTTCATCTGAAAAATTAGAGATTAGAAATTCCTCACTAGTTTTGATTTCAATACGCTTCAGCACCATATGTTGTATTCATGCAGCATCGGCACTATTTACCTGAATGAAAGAATCAATGTTTACCAGTCATGCAATCAAGACCAAGCTGCTCTGAATTGATTGAAGTATGCTGCGGTCTCCTCTCCTGCCTAGAATTTCATTGTTTTTTATACGATGTTAAATTTTAGAATTACACGAAAACACTTTGAATGAGAGTTTCACGACTTCGAGGTAAAAGTTCAAGAAAGTCGGCGCCACGTGTAAGGGCATAGCCGAGAATAATCAACAAGTTGCATTCCGAATACCTAATGTGCCCAATCGTCCTAATCATCATGACTTATAATAAAGCGCTAAGCGTCTGTCTTTTTTGTGTGTGTATGTGTATGTGTATGTGTATGTGTATGTGTATGTGTAAGTGTATATGTGTGAATGTGTGTGTATGTGTATGTATATGTGTATGTGTATGCCAGTGGCGGACCGAGGGGGGGGGGCCCTCTCCGAGAATGGGTCGCGAAATTTTTGAAATTTACTTACGTGGATTATAAAAGTGTGCAAATGACTTGTTTATTTTTGTAAATAATCAAAATAATTTTTAAAATTTTTCAAAAATTCAAATTAGCCTTGTAAAAAAATTTTTTTACCGTGGCTAACGCCATGCACCTTCGTTAGAAAAATTTTTTGCCGCCCTCTCCCCCGGTCCGAAATCCTGGGACCGCCACTAGTGTTTGTGTATGTGTATGTATATACAGTGACCACCAAAAAGTTGCGAACAAGCCGCCTTCCTTTTTTCATCTCTCATTTTCGGATAGAAAACAAAGGTTAAAAACTGAATGGATTGCATGAGGTGATAGAGCTCTTCAAGAGCTACAACCCACACATTGCGCTTTCTGGAAAACATGTATTCTAAAAACTCTAAAAATTGTTTTCTACAAAAAATCCGAAAATGGCCGCATCATAATGTTGCGGACAATAATTCTTCGAAAGCGAAAATTTTCTTTTAGGGCAAAAACAGAAGTTTTCCGGGCAGGTAAGCATACTATATTGTAGAACTCATCGAGGACAATAATCCGGTAGTGGTTTCCAAAAAACCCAAGCTTGGGTTTTATTTTGCTTCTTTTCAAAAAATAACCTTTAATTCCCTGCTTCAAGCCAAATTTCTTCATATGGAAACCCATTCAAGATATTCCAACAAAGCTATTCGGATAAAATGAATGCCCTTTGTTATCTTCTATGCATCGGAAGTGTGCTGGTGAGTTTCTTTGCTGAAAATGGCTTTTGACAGTGCATACACATGACCCCACCTGCACCTCACCACTGACTTGCACCACTTTGCAGGCGTGTAGCTCAGCCAGCAGTCACTCTTCGAGCTTGCAGTTAGGCTCATTCGAAAGAGCGTGACTTCCTCGAAACGAAGGTATGCAAAATAATTGGGTATGAGGAATAGCGAAGATTTGGTGGATGGGGTATTAAAGCGCAGCTTCAGTGGTAGGCTAAGGATTTCCAGCTAAAGTTGAACAGAGCTTCTTTCGCTACAAGTTCTACTCTGGAAGTTTAAAACTGTCAATGTTCTTGTAATAGATCCATTTCGAAGCTTTAGGACTGTTGTGGTGTTGATAAAAAGCCTCCAATCCAATCACCTTTAACGCTGCGCTTTATTACCCCATCCGCCAAATCTTCGCTATTCCTCATACCCAATTATTTTGCATACCTTCGTGTCGAGGCCTTCGTCATGCAGCAGCCTTTATATGATCTTTGATTCAACTGGCTTGGCTTCGGGAAAGCGGGGCTTTGTGACCTAATTAAGGCCTTCGCGCCCGCGACGCACCTGCGCCTCTCTCGCGCGAGTGCTCTCTGATCATTACCTAGCCTTAATTAGATCACAAAGCCCCTCCTTCCCGAAGCCACGCCAGTTGAATCAAATGGTGTACATGCAGCCAGGTGCAAAAGTGCACGGAAACATCTCATCCACAGGAAAAGACATGAAATATGGCTCGTTGTCAACGTATTAAGCAGTGCAAAAATGTTCCATGTTTGTAGGAAGCATTGTGCACCGAACGCTTTTTTGTTCACTTCATAATTATACGAACACTTCGAGCAAATCTGTTTTTTGCGCTAACGCTGCGACCTCAAACACTCAAACACTTATAAGGAGTTACAGTCTTGAACTCTTGCATAGCTACTGCAACTTACTGCAGTTCAAAAACATTTGCTTTGTTCTATTGCTCAAAATGCTTTTGATTCTAATTGACTTTCAAAATGTCGTCATTCTAATTTTGCGAGCCTTTCAGCTTTACGAAGGCAGTCAACAGTTGTTGTAATGTAATTGTTGCATTCAAGATAATTCCTACCTTACCATGTAGTTGGTACACTTTTGAGCCTCGAAATCGGATTCCACTGTCCACAAGACTTTGGAATCAAGCACATTCTACTTTAATTTTTGTACGGTAAACAAATTTACTTCTTTCTTGGGGAACCTATAATGCGGAGAATCTGTCTCAGCCACTCATTCGGCATGAACGTGCAAGGTCACGTAAACCTATTCAGCACCAAAACTTTCTAGGCAACTTTGTGCAAATCTTTAAATCTTAGCTACAGATATATCATTGTTATTATACACCAGTGCGTCACCTCTGCTTCGCAGAGGCTCGCACTGGCTCTACTATCTATGTGCCTTACTCTTCTCGTAAAATCGTGGCAATGGAACTTACCGCACTATGCCGACTACCACGAATTAAATGTAAACAGCTACTCATTCAGAAAGTTTTTTCACGTGAGATCGGTGATTTCGCGTGGATGAAACTTTTCGTAGGAAGACAAACGCAAATTTGAATAGGTTTTTGAAGTTGTCATGGCTTGGTAGTCCCCTTAAAGGCAATAGTAACCTTAAGCTACATCTCCGTGCGAAAATCTTTTGAAACGCTTAGCTAGAACTTTAGCAAATTAACCATTTACGCAACCAACTCTTTCTGGCGCCGTTTTCGTTATGTAGCAAACTTTTGACCACTTTTTGGGCTAAAGTCCATCGCTTGCACATTTGCTTACCAAACACATCCAGGACTTTGCAAAAAGTGGTGATATGGACCCAATTTTGCGGGACAGAAGCCAGGTGGATCCGTTTGGCGCGCAATTTCTGAGGGACCCATTCAACGAATCTATTCGTGCTTTTGCACGTTGAACTTTCATGAAAGTAGCATGCGCTATGCAAAATTTGGGCTTAAAACGCTGGCTGGAACACGCTCTACGAATTTCGTAACAGACGGACACACACACACACAAAAACACGTAAACAACCCTTAGCCCGTTATTATAAGGTCTTGATACAATAACTCTAAGGCTAAAATGTGTGTCAACTCATAAGATTCCGAGCGTTGGATGAAACATCTATCGAGAAAGCTTACTGTACCTTCCTCATCACGTGCTGCAGACTTGCAATCTGAGAATGACAGACATCTAAGAAGCCAAGTGCAAGCAAAACAATCTTGAGCAATGGGTGAGAAATAACTTCGTTTCCCCGAATACAGTGAGTTCACCGTCGTTAGATATCTTGCGCTTCAAGGATGTAGCCTGGAAAAAAGCTTGCTCGATGTGTTCTATAATCCTACTATAATAACGCGCTAAGAGTGTTTACATGTTTTTGTGTGTCTGTCTGTGTGAATGTCACGAAATGCATAGCGCGAGTTCCAGCTGACCTCCTGGGCTCAAATTTTGCGCTGCGCATGCTACCCGCATGAACGTCCAACACGCAAAAGCACAAGCAGATTCCGTTAGTGGATCTCTCAGAAACTGCGCATCAAAAGGATCCACTTTGCATTTGGGCCGCAAAATTGGGTCCGTGATTCCACTTTTTGTAGAGTCGTGGATGATGCAAGTAAAACCATTGCCAAACCATGAACTTAGGCTCAAAAAGTGATCAGAAGTCCACTACTTTACAAAAACTGCGCCAAAAAGTATTGGTTGCGTAAATGGTCAATTTGCCAAGGTTTTACCAGAACATTTGACGCGATTTTTTGCACAAAAATGTAGCTCACAGTGACTGCTGTTCTTATTGCAATGTCAGACCAGGGGAGAATCAAAAACCTACAAACATTTGCGTTTGTTTCCCTGCAAAAAGTCTCATCCACGCGAAATCACCGATTTCACATAAAAAATATTCTGGAATGAGTAGTCGTTTAAATTTTGTTCGTGATAGTCGGCATTGCTCGGTGAGTTCCAATACCATCATTATGCGAGAATGAGTAGGGCCTAGATAGTAGAACCAGTGCGAGCCTCTGCGAAGCAGAGGTGACGCACTTGTGATAATAACCGCTAAATTGTCTGTCTCTGGAGTTGGTCTGAGACGAATATATAACGAGTAATGATTTACAATGCTTCAGCGCATATTAAAGTTGCATAACAGGGCAGGTTCATTTTTGTTCGGCTTTACTTACCGGTCAAACGACCATGGGTTGGACCAGACTGCGCGGCGTACGGAACATGCAACATGCAAGAAGATAAAGCACATACTCTGCGTACGTCGCGTACGCCAGCACAGTCTAAGCCAACTCTATGATCGGAAGACCAGTACCGTAAATTCACTGATACGTTCTATAAAGGCAAGTGGGAGTCTGCGAGACAGATATGATGATTGAATCATAGAGCGCCCAAGAGAACATTCGGCGGTACTAAGTTTGACATCAAATCTCATTTTTTAAGCTGCTTATATTGCTTTCTATGCTCTTTCAAGCGGTGCTAGTCTTGGTTAATTTGCTCTAAAAGTTGCGAAACTCTCAAATTGAGTATGTTTCATAACAAACTGCACTTTATACAGTGCAAGACTTACCTTTATTTTAATTTGGTTTCCCTCAAAATCGACAAGTGACTGAGCGTTTTTCGAATGAATACCAACTGAAGCGACACTATGGTAAATGCCTACACTACTCTATATTATTACCTTTGCGCAAAAATGATTGAAATTGCCTCTTCAATTTTTCACTATGTACCACGATAGATATTGGTATTATGATAGGTGCTAATGCTACTCCGAGGTCGAAGAAAAATTCAAACGTTATCTCCATTATCTCCACTTTATAAATATCCCTAAATTGACAAGTTTGATGAAATCTCAACATCGAGTTGTGCTGATAATGTAAGTAGAATTTAAGTAGAATTAACGAGAATTGTAATTTAGCGTTTCTCAAGTGACGACATTTGCCGAAAAAATTTGCGTGAACAGTTGCTATGCCAAGCCTTTAATGCTGACAACTGCGCATGCAAACCGGCCGTAAAGTGCATATCGCCAAGAGTTGCACCTCACAGCTATGTATACACGCTGGAATCACATCGGCAAATGTCGGCAGCAGGGCACGATTTACTATCAGAACTACTGGCGTACATGAAGGCTACATAGCTATAATAATTCTATTAGGTTGGCTAGTAGTTTCTGTCGCTTTTGCGGCTTCTACAAACGCTGCAGACGATTGTTTGTCCAATATTTAGTACCTCTGGAATGAGCACTTTAATAAGAATTGAAATAGTCTGTTCGAGTAAAATTTATTTTGCAAAACACACTAGCAAAAAAGTAAAAACCCCAATTTTCTTATTGTGCGCAAACATGAGAAAATTTGGATTTTTCGCTCAAAAATTTTTGAAATGGCACATCATTTTGTTGATATTAGATAAGTAAGGAAAACTTGTCTGTATCCATACCAAATTGCTGTATTCTACGACCATTAGAGCATGAAGACGAAGCTTAGAAAGCAGAATATGAAATTTTTGAATAACTGGTATGTGACTGAAAACTTCAAACTACTTACTTACAAAAAATCTTGAATTAAAAACGACTAAAAAAGTTTTTATTAAGATTTTTATGCCAAAACAAAATTATAAATTAGTCAATATAATATTTTTGTTGAAAACCACTCCAAGTGTCAGAAGCGCAAGACACAGGGTTGAACACAGCTTTTTTCTGCTTTCGTCGGCGCAAGTTTTAGATGTCACTTATGGATCATACCTGAATACAAGGTGTACCAATACGCAGATCCACGTTACAACGACTAGAATCGAATATACCACAAAACATTTATACAGACATGTTGCCGATGTGACGTTTTCGCGTACCTTGAATCATGCTCCCGTTTGTTGCCAATCATTGTGGCGGAAATGTTCAAAGCTACCTGATAGCTGTGCGAAAATTGCAGTGTACCACGATGACCTTTCCATGTATTGACATTTGTTTTTCTTACTCGCAACATTAACTCAAATCATTTGCGATCAGAATTTTAAATCACTAGCAAAAAGTTGTTACCACTATAGCTGATGCGTAGATGACTGAAAATAGCATTGCGGTCACAAAATCAGAAGCAATTACTCCTTCAAGGAAATATACCATGCCATATGAGAATCCCCACTGGAATTACTTGATTCAGGAATTGATGCGGAAGTATCAAAGTAGTGTGCAGAACTTGTGCTTATGTTCAGCTCTTTTTTTTACATAATCACAGTCCGAGGAAGAAAACACATAAGGCATGAGCATGCCTTTGTCGCAGGGTCCTCGTAAATGCAGTCTTGTTCGATTTGAACTACTGTGTACACTACTGCCAAATACCACTAGTAGTGCATCGTTGCATGAAAGCGCGAAGGCAATGAGTACCCTCGCTGGAAAAGAATCTGTTTGCTTACAGTTGGTATTTCATAACTGGGGATACTGCTCTCTTTGCTGCAGGTAAGATATATCGAGAATTGAAAAGTTTAGCACAATCTCCCCAATCACAAAAAGTCTTTATAAAGAAGTGTTTCTGCCAATGAATGCCTAGATGTTTCGTCTCATTCTGGTAAAATTGGGCTACTACAGCGATTCTTGTCACACCCTTTATCGAGAAAGACGTCAAAAGAATACAGGGCTTATCAGTTGCAGAGCCGAATGCGCCAGCGTGTCCACTCCCGCGTGACCTCCTCGCCCTGGATTCTGCGTCTCATTTGCGAACATGCTCTTAAATTATTTTCGCACGCTTGATTAGCAATTGCATTTCCGTCATTCACGCTTTTGGTGGGAAGTGATAGAAGAGCATGTTTGCGAAAGAGGTGCAGAGTCCAGGCCAGGTGGCCGCGCGGGAGCGAAAATGCTGGTGCACCCGACTTTTTCCTGTAGCTGTATCAAAGTTCACTCCTCGCTTTTTGAAAAAGACGTTTGCAGTCGCTTGAGCAGCATTTTCGGAGAAGAATAGAGAGCTTTTGTGTAAAAAGTCAAACATCTCCAAATGTGCACGGGCAGTAACTTTATACCACGAGAAGAGTTTGTTGCGAGTAATGGCACTTTTACATGTAAAGGTTCGTTAAATATGATATTTTCACTGAAGCAAAAGCCAAAATAATAACTAAGTGACAATGACTGAAGACTGATAACTCAAAGTGCAACGATGCCTTCTGGCTAAAAGATACTTTACAGCTTCTAAATTTTGTCTTGCGCAGTGTGTAATATGTTGAGGAGGAAAATCGTTCAATTTTCAATTCTTCTCTGTTCTTCTTTTTCAATCATTTTCGAGCAGCAGAATCAAAATCAAAATCAGGTCCAATGAAGTTCACCAGAAACTTGGTTTGGCATAACACGGCACATTCTGACCTTCAAATTTCTTCCTGGAGATTGCGTTATTCCGACACTCCAATTTGCTTAGAAGGTAAACTGAACTTCATACACTCAAACTAGAAAAATGTTCTTGCAATATGTCAACCAAGAAATGGCTCTTACGATCAGACTACTGACACATGCTCAGGTTCAAAGACAAAAGACATTTGAATCTTGGAACCATTTGAAAAAGTGAAAAGCTCAATTAGGCCTGTACTGAGTGACACAGATCGAGAATTAATTAGGATTTAGAAAGAGAGATGAACTTACTAAAAACGCTATAGAGACGATAACGTATATGATGTTGCGTTCGTTTTCATATGTCTCAGAACGAATAGTTGCATATAGCCGCTCTAGAGCTAGTAGTATCATGTGGGATCCAGCTAAACAGCTTTGTATTCTGAAGCATTCAAGCGGGAAACTCTTACTAGCAAATATGGCAGCGTTACGCATTTCCACAGCAAAAGCAACAGCATTAACAATGTCATTGACAGTCAAGATAGCTAATTCCAGCAGACAATAGTATACTCGCCATATGCATGTTATACACGCAGCAATAACAAAACTTGCAGTTATCCATCTAAGGTTGATGTGTACTGAGTGTAAGGCGCAGAATTTCGTCAAAAAACCGGCTGCTGTTATGAAGCCGAGCACATGCATGGCCAGTTCGATGACGTGGAAGGCGTAATATAATTGAATAGCGGTCTCGTGAGGGACTCTTTTCAACAGATCCATAAGATATCTTGTTAGTTGAAAGTTCCTCTGCAGGCAAAATCAGCACAGGGCAGTCGTTTCTCCCATATAGAGCGCTCAATGTGACCGCCTAAATGCTTGGCATTCAACTGTCGCTAATGCATGCGAGAATAAGAGCAAGCTGTTATAAAGAAGAGCATTTGTAGTCATGCTAGGATTCCGAAATTTCACTACTTTCAGTGCGGCTGAGAATTTTAACTACCCTAATTTCACGCGTACAAGGCGCGGGGTGGCCCTAGCTTTCATCGAGCTGCTCAGCCGCCCCAACGTGTTTTAAGAAGCAATCCTTATGCCGCACGATTTGTCAGGCAAAACGCAGCACGGCATGGGGTTATTTGGTTGCGAAGTCCTTTGCCGTGTTCGAGCTGGTCGATGAAAGCTAGGACCACCCCGCGCCTTGCACGCGTGAAATTAGGGTAAGACAATATACTTTCCAACGTAGCTTTGATGATGGATGTGGCTGTCGACTTTGCTTTTTTCATTTCAACAAAGTATCAAATTTAGTTAATGGTTCTGTTTCTGTCGAAATTTTTAGATGAAACTTTTGAAGCGAACAATCTTTGGACCCGTAATAAAACTTGTACTTTGATTATTAATGTAATTCGTAGAATGCGCGCTTGATTTCGCTTGCTCTCACTGAGTTGATGCAAATTGCGGGACGCTTGCTCTCTAATCCGTATCAACGGAATCTCGTCTCAAAACTGGATATGCAGGCTGAGCCCAAGAAATTCTTCCAACTTCATCAGTAACTCATTTAGAAAAGTGAAGGCAGATTCGGTTCTATCTCAACGCAGCAATTACGAATACATCCGGAATATATCTGGTGGAAGATCACTCCGAGTTGAAAAGTAATACTTGTGTTATACCCACAGTTGGACAGCTTGCAACTCAATACAATCTAAGTCTTGCTTAGGCACTGCCCCTAATCTGTCAATGTTTGGTATTCTTTTTAAGTCTCTAAAATAATATGGACTAAAGTTTATTACTATGCTTTGTAGCGATGAGACGAAAGTAAACAATACGAGGAAGAAAGACCAGAATTACGACTGTCTTGACAGTCAAGTTCAAGCGCGTTGATTGCGCACAAAAGCTTATTACATTGTAATAGTCAATATTGTATCAACTTTAATCTATTACGCTCTAAAGAAAGTTCTCAAGCACTATAGGAAATCAGATAAAAATTGTATTTACCTGATATGCGGTGGACTTATCGCTCTAACTACAATCACTTCCAAAGAAGTAATAGAAAATACAAAAACACATTTAAAAAAAAACACCGTTCGCTAAGACATAGTTGATTTACACTGTACGCAGTGTTGGAAGAATGTACCGATTGTTTATGTGTTTCTTAGTTCCCTGTCCCAGCAGTTTTTGCGGGCATTAGTATCATTCTGTAAAGCTCGCTTAACCTAGTATATACAGGGTGTCCCAAAAGTATTTATACCCCGTTTGACTGTCAATAATTCTCTTTCCAATAAGTCTTTTGCTTGCCTCTAGATACCATTCTGTAGAGCTGACTTCAAGTTAGTTCTATAATATGGAGCGATTCAAGATCGCTCTTCATTACTGTAGCATTAAGTGCACCATTTGAAGAGCCTACAAACTCTAAAAAGTTGGCAATGAATCAGCTAGCGTAAAACCCTCGTGTACAGCCTTTTGAAACCTTTGGAAATTTTTCTGTAACGCGAATGCCACGACGACACTGTGTACTGAAAGTTCCTATTGTAATTCTACAGTAATGAGATGCGAACGGTGAATCGCATACTATACATCTAACAAGGGAAGCGTGTATAGTCAAAGTGGGCCTTTCAGATGAGACCCATAATGCTCTGGAGTGTATTGCACAGTCATTCCAAATCTGCCTTCATTATCTGCCAAAACGCCTACGGCCGAGCTATGGGCGTTTTTAGGGCCAAAAAGTTGAACGCAAAATTGGAGCATAATCGCCCGAATTTGCTCAAATGCTCTGATGTACAATATCAGAGCAGTTCATGTAATGGATACATTTTGTCTAATATGCTAAAACTTGACATTGCTTCAGAGCGCTCGAAATATTGTAACAATTGTTTTTCCCTAAATTCTGCATTCATTTTTCGTTTCAAAAACGGTCACTCGACGCTTAGAGGCGCTTGGCAGATAATGAAGGCAGATTTGGAGCCATCGGTAATGCTCTTCAAAGTGGTATGATTCTCATCTAGAAGCGCCACTTCGACTAGACACGCTTTCCTTGTAAGTTGAAGTCAGCTCTTCAGAATCGTACCTGAAGGTAGGCAAAAGACTTATTGGGAAGAAGATATTGACGATCGAACAGTGCATAGAGATATTGGGGATACCCTTTATTAAGAAAAATCATCGGCTACCGTAGATTACGGTGGGAATTTCTAGCAGAATAACGCCACTGATGAAATATTAGTGTGTCCCATATTTTTTAATTTCAAATTGTAGCTCTCGGTTTCTTTCCTTTATTGAGTACAGCTTAAGTTACTATACGATAATGCAAAGCAAGCTCTACAAGATGGTGACCGAACATCCGGAAAAAACATATTCCATGTATTTATAGTCAATTTCTCATTAGTAGAATAAGGAATTTAGGTTAAACTAACGTATCTCTGTTCCAAAATGTCCCAAGGACTCGTTCACTCAAACACATACTTGATACATCAGACACTCTGTTATACAGTTCCTGTATTTTTCTTAGGAATAAAGAAACAATCGATTGAAGCAAAATGGCAAATTCGCTTCTAATGATCTTGGGTTCCTCTCGCAGACGCTACTATACGATCTATGCATAGAGAATGAGGGTCGTATATATGTAATGTTGTAGGTGCACTCGCTGTCAAGTTAATATATTTGTTTTAATGTTGGATTCGGAAAAAAATCATGGGACAGCCCAATACCTGCTAGGTTTCAGAAACAGATTTTGTTTAGCTTTGTAGGACTGTTTATATGGTGCAATTCAATATTTTGAATGTCGAGAAAGCGGATGTTGTCGTACATGTAGCGCAATATTCAGTATGAAATACTGCAAAGTGGAAGTTCATAATCGAAAGCACTATCAGTTTCACCCAAAAAGTTGCATTTGTAACCAGGCGCAAGTTTTCCGTGGAATAGCAATGAAAAGCTGCTGAATTTTGTAGGAGAATATCTGCGTTTGTTTTTGGAAACAACTGAAGTTGAAGCATTAAGTGATCACGTCTTGGCACTATGGCCAAGAATATCCTGTTCACGCCATAGGGACAACATAGATACAATTCGACGGCAAACATAAGAAGGCGTATATCTGTGAGGCAACTTGGTGCCGCGCGAGAGGGAATAATTATTGAATAGGATGTATAAAATAAGTGCCACTACATTCGGGAAAGCGCAGATGTACTTGGCGTTAGAGGTGAAGACCACTCTGATTACCGCGTGGGAACGAACGTTGAACGTTTGAACGTTTGCGATACTAAGAGGGTTTTTGGAGTTCAATGCAAATTCTTCTGATTTGGCACATGTGCGCAATTTGCTTTTTTGAATCTCATTCTTTGCCCACATACAATTCGACTCGTGACATAGGCTACTCTCAACATTGACAGATGCCGGCTTGGTGATTTTCCGGCAAACTTTGAGCTATGGAGCTGGGAGTGAAGCTGGATACTGCGACAACTGGATACAAAACGGATATAGAAGCGGAACACATACAGTGGAATGTGTGTGAAGCTTGTAAATAAGCCTTGGCATGGGATTTTGGCAAGCATCGAGTGGAGCTTGGTATGTCGGCTAATACTTAACAACTTTGATCAAATTACTTTACATCCATAACGTCTTGTTGACTTAGAAGCACTGATGCAATTAAGTAGTACGAACCTACAGATGAACATCTCAGTGTAGCTTATTGTAGCTTATCGACCAACCTAAAGATTATGATAGCACACCATCAGTACTTACGGTGCATGAGAAAGTTTGCACTTTAGGCGAGCTCAGCTTGTGAAAAAAGAGGTCTGGTATATAGATTAATGTTGGTTAAGCATTTGTCGTAGTGATCAAAAAAATTTGGGCTTTACCCCATTTTATTAAGAGACAGGACTCAAAATTCAACGGCGCGCTGATGTGAATTCTCCGTTTTTGAAATTGAAATCGGATCACTTTGAGAGATGTCAGAGCTCATTAGGAGAATAATAAACTTTCCTTCAAGCTAGATCGTTCGGAAACAATATTATACTAATCCTGCTGAGGCAGAGATAGGTGTGCATCGGTGGCGGTCGCAAGAATAGTGAATTCTTATTGCTGTATTTTTTATCCCCTTATATATCAGCGTAATTACTTATAAGAAAGCCCCTCTCACAAACAAATTACTTTTCTGTAACCGCCCTCTTAATCCTAATTTTTTTCAAAGCTGATGAATATCTAAGCTTAATTATCGATAAATCTTGGCGTAATTTAATTACTTGTGTATGTCTTCTTTGGCCAATGACCAAGATACCAAACTGGCGTTGCGTTTCACCAGTCAGACTACCTTTACTGTCCGCACAGTCTTTTATTACTGACTGTGCAGACGCTGTGTTGTTGGTGGTAGCTATAAGGTCGGCAAAAATCAACAACTCAAAATTCTGACGCGGTAGACTCCTTATTACCCATGTATGAAAAGAGTGCAATCCCGGTTGCACAGCATGCCTTCCCAAGAAAATTGCTATCAAACTTACACGCGCAGGCCACTCTTACACGCATCCGGACGAGTTGGCAATTTCCTTCTCACCATTGGAGGCTGCCCGCCGCAATGCTATAACCATTGGATCCTGCAACGATTCGGCGTCATCAGCCTTGCTCCACTCGTCCAATTAAAAAGGGAAGGGCATTGGAAAACGCTCGTTTTTGGCGTTTTCAAGCACTCAAAAATGGATTTTTGGAATCAGCGTATTGAACAACCCCAGTAATTTGACTCGGCTGAGATTTGCCGAGCCACTGCTTTAACCCCGATTCGAACCGAGGCTTTGACGAAGGTAGCAGCGCCGAAACGTTAGCTTGACTAGTAAAGCTTTTTGATAATCTCAGTTATTCTAGAGAATTGAAAATTGAGGTCTGAGGATTTTTAGCCTTCAAAGAGCCAGGGAAAGCTGCAGTTTAGAAAAAAGCAGTTTGGGCAGTTTGGTTTGTAGTTCAGGTGACTTTGGGCTAAGCTGGTTGCGTATCATTTTCATATTGAACGTCAGAGAAAGTCACTGTTTCGCCTTCGCATTTATAGTGGCTGAAAGCAGCTAGTATTGGGCTCTGACAAAGCCAGATCAGTATATTTGTGCAACCAGTCCAATTGTGTTATCTTTACAGCCATATTAGGGTTGAAGGTGATTGAAATTAAATTGATTTCACAGCTGTTTTGAATATAAGGAAAATTATTTTTAAGGAAAAACCAACAGCATATCATCGGCAATATTAGAATACTGTTCAAAAAAACATTTTTTCTCGCAGTTAAGTTAAACGCTTTGGTATCAACATTTTCTCGCAGAAATAAAGCAGTAATGCAGAATGCTTCATACCTTTAAGGTATACTGCTCGCAAAATTAGGACCAAGCTGTCTTGAACTGGTTGAAGTATGCTGCGGTCTCCTCCTCTGGCTAAAATGTCTTACCTTAATCTTTTGTCATAGACTGAGATCCAATCATTGTAGATCTTACCTTGACTTTAATCTGCCTCCCCTCAAAGTCAACAAGTAATGGAGCATTATCTATCTTCTTACACATCCCAACTGAAGCAACACTATGGTGAATGGGAACAACAACATATGTCTAACATTACTTTTGCGAAGAAGCGAAAGAGCTTGATTCCAAAGTTTTTCATTATATCTAACAACAGATAGTGCTAATGTTGAAGATACTGCTGCCACTGTCAAGTTGAACAAAATTTCGAATGTTATTTCGAGTATTGGAACTTTATAAGTATCCCTGAAATGGCAAAGTTGACAAGAAATTTTCGTTTTTGAGTTTTTGCCACTGTAGAAATCTTGCACAACACGATTTCACGTGCAAAATAATTTCAAAAACGGAGCAGGAGATTTTTGAAGGGAACAAATCAAATTATATCGCACCAGGCCATCGTGTCCTAAGATGCAAGATAAAAATAAATGTTCTCATTTATCATACCTGAATACGAACAGTAATGCCACAAACAAAAAACCTAGAAGAACTTGGATCGAGTACACCACGAAACATTTATATAGGCATGTTGCAGAGGTGACATTTTCGCGAATCTCAAATTATGTACACATCAATCCCCGCAGGTACGTTCAGAAGATGATTGTAAGTTGTTACCTGATAGCTTTGGGAGAATTGCAATGTACCACGATGACCTTTCCATTTAGATATATTTGCACTTCTTACACGCATCAACAGCTGAGATCATGCTAAGAGGTTGCTCATACAACACTAACGAAAAGATTTTGTTACCCCTATAGCTGGTATATAAATGACTGAGGCCAGCAACGCTATCACAGTATCAGGAGCGTTTAGTGCTTTGAGCGAGTAGATCATGCCATACGAGAGTCCCCACTGAAATCATACTCTTGAAAATTTATATGAAGAATTATCTAGTTGGCTGTGGGAGAAAACGGTTGATTCAATGCATTACACCAAATCTAACAAAGAAAATACGGTAGCGCACCGTGTTCATCCTTCATAGATTAGATGCATCCACTCTGAGATTAAATAATGAGAAACTCGGGACCGCTTTGCAGACATTGTCAGAAAAGTACATGAATTCCAGAACTACTCAATTATTCCTTCCCTACCGATGCACAGCAAAATAATCATTCAAGTTCATTGAGGCTGCGTTCACAATGATCCCGAAGTCCAGGAACAGTTCCAGCACCGCGCTCAATTTAGGGCGCTTTGCTGGAACTGTTCCCGAACATAGGGACTTGGCCGTCTGCGTCTTATTCTAGCGTCTCGAAATGAATTTGAAAAATTAAAGAGATGCAACAATCTAAAGCGAAAGACTAGCACCCCAAAATACATATGTTTCAAATCCGCCTTTTGTCTGTTTATACAGGGTAGTAGAGCAAAGGGATAGAGTTTTCACACTTGCCTTGTTCTGTTTTAGGGTACGGAACTGCAGATTGAAAAAAGCTTTGACAAAGCGAGAGCTTATATACAAATCAAGGAAGAGAGCTTTTAGGTGGTATGATCAATGTTCACAAAGAACAGTTTTTCTTTCAAAACCTCAAAGTAAAGAAGACAAGTGGAACTGCAGGCTTCAAACGAGCACAATTTGTTTCCAATTCTTTCAAAATTAGCCCGCTATAAGTTCAACACTGAGCAACAAGACAAACTGAGATCAAAAACAATGTTCAAGACAGCAACTTACCAAGCCAATGACTAAGACGATTACAAGGACAATATTGCCTTCGTTTTCATAAGTCCTAGATCGAATAGTTGCAACCTGCCGCTCTATAGCTAATAGTATCATATGAAGCCCTCCTAAACTCTTTTGTGCCTTATAACTTATTGTTCGAGCTGACTTTGCTTACTCGCAAGAATAGAAGCATTACGCATATCAAAAGCGAAAGCAAGAGCATCAATAATACGATCGACAGGTATTATAGTTAGTCGCACAAGACAGTAGTACATTCGCCACACGGACGTAATACAAGCAGTAAGGATGAAACTTGCAAATATCCATCTGAGGTTGATGTGAAGCGATTGTAAACGGGTGAATCTTGACAGAAAAATAAATGCTACGATAAAGCCAAGCACATGCACGCCCAGTTCGATGTAGTGGGAGAAGTCGAATATTCCAATCACAGTTTCCAAAGGAACGTTCCTTAGTACTTCCATACGAAGTTGTGTTGAATCTGCAAACAAGGAAGCGAGGGTGGAATCAAAGTGTATGGAATGAATGAACACGAAGGCTACTTTTATAATTGTCGAACTTATTTATTTCATCGAGGAAAAGGTGGAATGCAATTATTCGAAACAGATGTGCTGCAATTTCCTGATACTAACAATAATGCAGTTATTCGCAATTCGATTGCAAATAACCTCGAGTCATTTGTAACTTAATATGTGAGACTGCACACTAAGCCCTATTAACGACGGCGCCTATACCAGTAATTTTCCAGTGAATCATTTTCTAGCCTAACCAAGTGTAGAAATCTGTTCTATTGACTAACATATAACCAAAAAAACAAAAGAGAAAAGGAAATAAGGAGAAATCACTGGAATGAGCAGGTACTAGCTCTGCCGTTCGTCAGTTAACGTGTAAAGTGTGCACTACTCATATTAAGTTACAAATGACTCGACGATAGAATCAGCGTATGGCAGTCGTTACTCCCAATAATGAATGATTAGAACGTTTGATTGAATGCTTGCCGCATGAGTAACGCTGGTATTCTTGGTAATGACAGCATGCTCTTCAAAGAAAAATTTGCTACCAAGAAGTCAGTACATTAAATGCGTACGTAAACAGATAAACATGCACTTAAATTTTTCAAAGAAGTGTGCTAACAAATACAATAGACTGATACATAAGTCTTACACATTTTTTGGAATTTCGTGATCTCCTTTAATTTTTATACAACGTATTCGATACAGAAAAGAGAATTTCTGCTTTTTCCAAACATGTGCAAATCAAATTCCCTGTTGGCATCTAGACCACACCAGATGATTGAGAAAAACACTCAAAAAGTGTTGTTTTTTTTTCAGTTTTTTCGCTGAGACTACTAGAATGCCAGTGATCCGATCTTGTTCCTGATCTTGATTACCCGTTTTCACAAACAAAAAGATATCCGTCGTTATCGGGAGTCCCTACAAATAGTTGCGATCTATAATTTGTTTCAGCCCTGAGTATTTGTTTCTTTAGTTCTCTGAAATGTATCATAAACCAATACATTTGATATACAGGGTGTCCCAAAAGTCTTGTGGCCTAATTTTGCACTGCTTTAACTCAACAGTCACTGGTGATTTTGATCTCAAATTTATACCACAGAATCCGCCAATCATTCTTCGTAAACTTTATCCTTGGTGGTGAGAAATGATCTTCATGTTTAACTGAAAAAAATAAAATTATCAAACCATTTCTACCTCAAAACGCAAAAAGCTATCTTCTAGAAGTTTGAAATTTATTCCGCTTGCAAAAATTTGGCACACCGCGGTGCAAATTTATATCCACAATATAGAGGAGGCTTTGCACTACTATCACTATAATGGCTGCATTTGAAAATCTATTTAGTCAAGAGAGGCGAGAAAAAACCTGGAAATTTTCAATGCGTGCCACTGCAACTACGTCTTTGGAAATAGTTTCAAATCTGTAGAATTGCAGCAGTGACTGAATTTGGAGTAATATCCTCTTCGCATGTTTTCTAGATGGGAATCTAATGCAACACGGATGACGAACTTGGTTTTGAAACACATTGTAGCCGATTTTCTGTTTTCATTTTCCGCAAATGTGTCCAAAACTCCACCATGAGATCTACACGTTAATTTCAACCATGAAATTCACAAATTTTTCTAATCATGGTATGATGTAGCTGAAAACTTGCTCTATCATACAGCTCATTTTCTAAGCGATAGGATTTATTCACATGAAAAATTGGTACAAAACAAGGACACGATAAGTGCCTGCGTGCCTCGGCAGTGGTAATCGCCAACAGTTTGAAGGCTTCCGTTATCAAGAAAAGATGCTACCACAAAATTCAAATGCTGAGATGTATTTGCTACTTTTTGAATAATGTGTATACCAAGTTTTATATCCCTATGTTGTTCCGTTCTGTTTTTATCAGAAAAAATACTTGGCTACAAGACTTTTGGGACACCCTGTACATTTTACTGAGCATGTTGCACAAATGTTTGACCTTTTTCTTAAGTGCATCAATCTAATACTCAAAGCGACAAATACAGCTACATCTCAATATCGTAACTTAGATAACAATCAAAACACTTACTCTGCCTTGCTCTCGCTCGAATACTTCCTCTACCAAAATGTGGTTCATGGAAAATAAGATGTCAATTTTTCTTATAATTTCAATCTTCTATCTCCCACTTTTTATGGACATGTCAAAACTAAGCACAATTCTAGCGCGTGCTATTCACTCTTTGCGAGACAATCTGCAAAGTATTATTGTGCGTACGCAAAATATACTCTAGCTTGAGAGCTTGCTTCCTACACCAATTTTCCTGCCTTAATCTAGCCTGCGCCTGCTTCTAGAAAATTGCAACGGAAAGCACGGGGTGACTTGACCTGAAAACGATGTCCCCTCGTCATTGCAACAGATTACGAGATGCCATTTGTGTTATTCGTAAAAGTAATGCTAATATTCCACAGTGACGTTGAACTCAACTTGAAGTGAAGAAAAGACAAAAAAACACATGAAACAGGAAGCGAAGAAAGCGGATTTTACAAAATCAAAAGCTGTAGCAAAGCAGAGGACGAATTTTGAGTAGAGGTGAGTACCCATAGCTGAAGAATCAAGTAAGGAATAATATATAGAAATTTTCGAAAACAAAAAAATATGAGAGGAAAGGCAAAATTATGACTTGATTTTGGTTCAGCGCAACCACACGGTGCTCCCAGGTTGCGCAAGAGCAACGCAAAAAAAACACGCTTATTTTATTCACGTAATTCTTCGATAATTTTTCGTATTTTTATTATAATGTCAGAAGGTACAAACCTAACGGTGGCTAGATATTGTTTATGCGTTGTAAACAAACTGATTGTTTATCTTCTTGTGCATAATTATGTACTAACACGTTGTAGTTATATGCACACAGCTTTATGCACTAATCTTTGAATTGATTTGCCCGTTGGTAAGACGCTGTCCAGATTCAGGCTTACATTAACAATCATAGAATTGCACTTGCTCATATTTTGTCAGATTTCCGAGGATCACACCCAAAAACAAGTTTCCTTTTGCTTTTCCACAAAAAACACCCAATGTGTGGAAGAGCCACTCTGCTGAACTCTGACTATGGCTTACAATCTTTTTCAAGCTTATGAGCTGGTTTTGTCACTAATTATCACTAAACAACAATTAGAAGAAAATCAGAGAGAGCGAAACAGGAGTTCAGGGTGTGTTTTCTTTAACGCGATTCAGCGCACTGAGGTGCACAACTACAACTTTATGGCGTTATCGATATTGGAAATTCATAATGGTTTATTTCTTCGGCCATCATAAATTAGGTTCGAGAAAAGTTCTCGGGCACCTTTGATCAAATTATGGTTATTACTCTACTTATGCTGATTTATATTCCCGCTCTAACTACGGACTACAATACAATCTATAGGTGTTATAAAGAAGTTCCCGGGCACTATCGGAAATCTCATTCTGTGGAGTACATTTTTCGCACTCTGTTGGATTGCGACACACAAGCTTTGACTATTACGGAAAACAAGACTTCTCACGGGGGAATGTACATGGGATTGAAGATGAAGTCGAAAGCTAGTTTGTGAGACACTTATCGCTGATATGCTTTCTGCATCCGCGGGAAATCTCAAAAAATATCATCATCTTTTTGTTAGTACATCTCCCCTTTGGGAAAAACTTGTCAACAGCAATTTTTGAATCAAGTAAGATCGAACCACGGAAGAAGCTTAACTACGACGTTTGCACGCAATAACAAAGAAGAATAACCTTTGGCACACCACCTTACCCATTTTCTCAACTTCTAAACAAGATTTGGCATCACTGATTTTTCACTGGTAAGTAAAGTGGATGTAGTGGACAGTATCAGGATCAAACAGATCGTCTGGAAGCAGGCTGACTTCGTTTTTGAAGCGAAAAAGCAAAAAGGATATTATTTTTGTGGATCCGCTAAAACGTCGACTTAAAAAATTAGGTTTTTTTGTTCGTTTCCGATTTTGGGTCAAAGACAACTGCAAAAGTTAGAAAGGACACAGGCACTGGATGGTATGCGACCATGCGTATCCTTTGTCTCCGACAAGATGCTCTGACGGGAGAATCACACTTTTGAGTAAATGTTCGGAATGCTGATTCCAAATCTGTTTTCAAGACTGCAAAACCTTAAGAAAAAAATTTGAGAGCTTTATCAAGCGAAAAATCAAGCATGACAACATTAATGCATGCCTACGTCTTTCAGACGGTAAATCGAAGAGCAATAACAATTTCAGTGGCCATATTCATAATTGCTACCTTAAGGTAAATTCTACCTCCAGGTAGGATTATCACTCAAAACCCGTATTCATCAATGTACCCTGAGGTAAATGCCTAAGGTTAAATCAACCTTAAAAATGATTTCATGTGGAATGGATGATACCTGTGAATTCTACCTCAAGGTAGCCTTATCAGCAATAAATCCGTATTCATCAAACTTGATATCTTTACCTCAAGCTACATTCACTATAGAAACTCTAACCCTAGCAAAAGACAAGGTTAGAAGTGATACCCTTAGAAATCTACAAGGTTTTAGGGGCTGATTTATTACACGAACATTGCAGCGACAAAGAATCCATTGCAGCAATTTTGTTTAATTTCGTTGAGATTAGCTAGAGTTATAGACATGTGAAGAAATTGGTACTACACTTCTCTTCAATCCTATGGATATGTTGTTGTGAGTGTTTTGTAACTTCTGTGAAAGTGATGTACCGAACCAGAGAAAGTCAAACATATTCATTTGCTTCAACAGCACTTGAGCATCATAGATCCTATCATACAGTATTTTGAGCATAGCACACTGAACCACGAGCTTAAAATTGTATAATCCAAAAACAATCACTTTGCAAGCTCCGTATTTAAAAAAAGGCAGTGTTGACGTTCGTGTAACACAATTCTTTAGCCTTGTTTGGTTGCTCAACTCAAATTCAACTGAAGTTATATCACTCAGGAACATGTGGG